CTTGCCCTGGCTCCACCTCGTGACAACATTTGCAGCATAACACATACATGAGACTAACCAATGCAGGATTTCAAGGTGTCGCTCAAAGGGGGGGAAAAAAACACTGAGGTTGCCATTTTGAACTGCTGTGGAGCTTTTTACTGTCTCACTCTGAGTTGAGTTCATGAAGTGATCACAGGAAACCACAAAAGGTCTCGAGGAAAGGAAACTAAAACTGTACTAATATGAAGGAGAAAGTCTTTGTGTGTGAATAAAACAACATCCAGCTTTAAGAGTGGAACGAATCTAGGTTCAAACAGTTCAGAAGTGCTGCTCTATTTTAAGACCAAGTCTGTTTAGGCATGTGAATGGCCAAGATGAAGCCTGTTGACAAAAAGGGAAACTCCCACCTCACTTATACCAACAGGAACCATTTGCTCAAGGTGACAGAGCAAGGATCTTTTGAACAAGAAAAACCTGGCACTAGACATCCAGTTACCCTTTTGTTTTTAGAACTGCCGCTGTGTATTACAAAACAAGACAGCTGTGAGCGGGTTGGTGTCGAGTGGCTCAACTTTGGTGCAAAAAAGCTTGTGGTTGTTTTCCTTCTGCCCTGCTCCTTATTTGCTCTCTCATTCCCTGCCCGACAACACCCTCTGAGCAAATACACTCAGAAATGTGTGTGTGTGGATTTTGCAATCTTGGATGTTTTCCTCTTTCACACAAAGCATTTTGGTATTTTAATTGCCGATTATTATCTTGTTGTTTTTAACATTACGGTTAGTTACATGAAAAGAAAGAGGCAGTTAGTAATTAGGGAATGGAAAAGAGAGAGAGAGAGAGAGAGAGAGGGACAATCTGGTGAAGCCTAAAATGGCTGCCTGCAGTTCAAAAGGTGGAGAGACAGAAACTCTGAATATTGGTGGGCTCTTTTCCTGCTTTATGCTCAGCCAAGTGTGACAAGAAAGCAGGATGGACAGTGTAACAGTGAGAGGAGAAGAGGAAACGAAGGACAAAACATAAAACAAGACCAGAAGAGAGCGAGAGCGAGAGAGAGAGAGAGAGAGAGCAAGAGAGTGCAAGAGAGAGAGATGATTACGTAGAGTGCCTGCCTCACCCCCATTCTGCCTTGTTTCCCCCCCCCACCCCCAACCCCAGCCACCTCCTCCTCCTCCACCATTATTCTCCCAAGAAGCATTGCTTCTCGGCACAAAACAGAATTAACCAGCACAGCCCTCTGCAACACTGCTCCCCCAGCGCCGAGGATACACTGCGCTCAATTGGAGCAGCTCCAGAGCTCCTGCACCAATAGGAAGACAGCGCTGAGGCAGGCGTCAGAGCGATTTGTTTTTAACCCCGTTGTGCAAGACTCTGAGCCACACAACACAGAGCAGCTGCAGAGGGAAAGCTACAGAGGGGGAAGCTATATGGACTGAAGTGAAAAAGGAAAGGCAGAAGGAACATTCAGTAAACAGAAGACATCAGGACATTACACATGCTAGCCCTTCATATTATTAATATATATAAATAAATAAGAAGTACATAATTACAAGTGTGCCTTTACATCTTAATATTTTTAATATAAAAGTATCATGTAAATTGTATTGGTCATAAAAAGCAGTTTGGGGATTAAGTAAGCATCAGTGCTTCTTCCTCTTGTAAATTGTATCTTTCCATACAGATGCAGATTCACAATATTGGCTTTGCTGACATGGTCAGCCGGGCACGACACACATGAAACCATATTAACATATCAATAGCTACACCTGCCCTCCATGTAATGATCCAGAGTGCCATCAGCATGCAAATGGTACGCGAAAAAGACAGGGTTTTCCCCCCTCTCTATTCCTATTCCTCACACACGTACACCCCCTGCTCCTTTGCTTCTCTAACCGTCTGCAGCAAGACCGAATCCTGTCTTCTTCTTTTGGGAATGTGCCAACATCCTGCTTCACTCCCCCATGTACAAGCACACAAGCGCACACACACAGACACACACAGACACACTTTACATTCTGTTCTGTTCTGTGTATGATCCATACTCATTAGACCACATTGCATATTCTAATTGTGCTCTCCTTTGCCAAACAATTACATATCTTGGTTTGTAACCGCTCCCTATATGTGAATGAGAAAGACAGACTTTATTTCCTCAGTAAACAGAAAACTGGGCCAGGCGTAACCTTGAATGTCTGCACATTCCTCAGATCTCAAATGTTTCAGAGGCCCATATTGGGAAAGAAGGGTCGACATCCTGCAGACAGATCCACACATACAAGCATAGGGCTTCTCTTGTAGGCAGTCCTCTTTCAAGAACAGTTGGACTTGATTTTTTTTTTAGGTCTGGAAAATTAACATGGCTGGTCAGTACACAACAGAGCAGTGATAAGCAGCCATGCAGTACATTCTTAGCTTTCCCAGGGTGGAAAGGTGAGTAAAGAAGGCAGGCCAGGGTCAGAGGGAGTAGTGGAGGGGCATACATGTTTCCTATGGTTCTGAGTGGCCAGGTTTGCATGCTGTAGCGGCCCACACGGTCTATTTAAAGATGTGAAGTATATTCGGAGAATGCCAGTTGCAACCAATGAAAACAAGGCTCGGCACACTGCAATCCAGCTTCCAACAGACATCAAGATCAATCCAAATACTTGTCGCTGGCTGGCTGAGCACTCCTAACAGGGCACGGGTGTAATCTTTGTACTCCTCGTGAACAAGGTCGACAACAAGCACACTGTACAGCCACATGTAGACTTTTTTTCAACAGATTTTTGATTGAAAAACATTGGATTACTGAGTGTAGTACTTTTAGGGTACAACCAAACACATTCTATGAAGCTCAAATGCACATGTTTTTTTTCCTCATAATACTCGACAAGCAGACGGCATTGAAGAAAGAGTGATATAACTGAAGCCTGAGGTGTAACCAGTTAGGTCTGTGACACGTCAGACCTAAGTATCACTATAGAGCTGCTGCATTCATACATCCGGTGGCATATTCATTGACCTAACCGGGCTTATAAATCAAGATAACATCGCCTTTCTCTCTCGTTATGTCCACTCTGCTCGGTCTCAAGAGTGCAGCACAATGCGAGGCTACGTGGTGCAACTGAGTGGAGCACAGCAGCTACTCTGTCGACGGTGAGGGCAGCCATTTGTGCCTGGGAAAATTCCGTACACATAAAAAATAATACAAAAAAGAAACAACAGCAGAGTGTGTGTGTGTGTGTGCTTTATATTATCACTTGTTCCTGTATCTCATGATAACTTTAGTCAACGCACTCACTTCCTGGGTGTTTAATTTGAGCTCAGATGGAAATGATGAGGCAAAGCAAACCGTGAGACCGAGTTTTGACCCTTAAATGTGTGTGACATGAAAGTGAAACACTTGGGAAAATACCACAATTATGCAACATTATCGTGTGTTCAAAACGTTGCTCCTACTGAAGCCCCTGAACTGGGTGGAAACCTGTGATTTGCTACTTAACTGCTCAGCATTTCAACTCACACTTTGAAATAAAAAATGGAGTCTAAAAAAAAAAAAAAAAAAAAAAGGAAACAAGAGCTCCCCTCTAAAATACCACCCATTTCTCCCAACCGCCACCGAGGCTGGGGGGGTTGGTAGGATGAGAGGAGGGGGGGAGGAGGAGGTGAGGAACAGCAAGTCACCACCCGACAGATCTGCTGGGTTTTTTTGTGTGATTACTAGAGAGAAATTTCATACACAAACAGAGAGAAACATAACAGAGCTTGATTCACACGCCTGAGCGAGGTTAGGGATTGTTGCCAACGACGACGTGATGTAACGTCAGCTAAACACCACCATGATGCGGGCTCCATGTTTTTTTTTCTTTTTTTCTCCTCCTCTCTCCCCCATAAAAACTAAACATTTTTGCACCAGAAATCCTCAGCTTAACCTCTCTGTTTCAGTGTGCACACCAAGAGAGGCTCGTAATAAACGTGTAGTGTTGAGTTATGGTTCAAAAATAATTAAAAAAAGGGACACAATCTGCTGGAAAACATCCAGAAAGTTGGCTAACAGGCTAGCACAGCAATTGTTGCCTGTGGCTTGTCAGCTAAAACCAAAGTGCTGGGCTGCTTTTGGCTAACATGAGTCGTCATTACTGATCAAATTGCTGCTTTACTCTCAAATAAATTCGACAGTTTTTGTGGCCTCCCACTAAAGTTAAAGACCCTGCTGTTAAATTAAACATGCAACAAATTGTTTTGGTTGCAATTAAACTAATATGTTTGCCTCCTTAAAGCTGTGTAACTTCCTAACCCCCCCCCCCAAAAGAAAAAGAAAAACAGGACTGTGTGTCAGTCTAAATTTAACATCATAACAACAAGATAAAAGTACTAATAATGTGTGTTTGTAACCTGTGTGGAAGGGGTTGTCAAAGCAACTCTATAGACAAACCAGGTTTATTTGTTATGGCTTTCAAAATGACCACAATATGAAGCCTTTATTCGGATTTGGGCGTCAAAATCATAGCCCAGGTTGACTGCTTCATCCCGGGTATGAAAACTAACCCCCCCCCCCGAAAAGCAAGCAGACTAAAATGCTACACGACCCAAACTCCTAAAAAAAAAACTTGCAGAATGCATTTAAGAGCTTGGGGGTGATGTGATTGTTTTGAAATGTGTTTTACAGCATTATTAAAGTACTTTTTGACTGTATTTCTAGACTTGCTATGAAAAACAACACGAGGGGAGAGCTTGATGTAAAAAAAAAAAAAAAAAAAAAAAAGCCATGGGAGATGTGATGTCCACACACAGGCACAAGAGCAAACCCTGCAAAGCACACAACCATCAATATGGAAGCTTTACAGCAAAGTGGAAAAGATAGTGAGGCCAACCAAGTTGTTGTATTAAACTTAAAGGGGACGATAAGTAGTCAGCTGGCTAAGTTGGGTAGCTTCACAGCTAGTTGAAAACATGGTTAGTGCGTGACTGTTGTATTTATGTGATTGCATCCCTTTAGAGTATATTAATATAAAATATGAACACATGTGTTAAGTACTCACCTAAAGCGGCATTCCAAACTTGTACAAGCGAGGTAAGTTAATGTACAGTGTGAAGTCCTTATAGTATCCCAACATCAAATCCAAGTAGGCCTTTAGTCCGACCTCGGCGTCTCCTGTATCCTTTGCCCTCAAAAGTAGCTCCCTCTCCAGGGGTAGAAAACAAACTTCTCAGCGTCTCCCACGCATAGACGGAAAGTTAAATTCCCTGTCCTGTTCGGGTGTACTGCATCCATTGAGTGTCTATTATAGATCCCCGGTGATTAAATCCATTTATGTTAGTGTTTTTTATATTTAAAGTCGCTATTTATAATGGGGTATATGCTGCTGTATGTGATACAGGGCTCTGATTCTGTCTCGGGTCCTTACATTCGCCGAGGCGCCCATCCCCCCTCATCGCCGGCATCGACCGCGGGTCCCAGCGAAACTGACACACAACCACGCAACGGGGTTTCCCTGGCGACCGTGCAGGGGCTCTCTCCTTGGGCGGCCCTCTGCGCGCTACGTCCCCGCCTCTTCGCTTGCGATTGGACAAGAGATGTGTCAATCATGGAACACGCGTTAGTCTTTGGTGGATTTACAGCGTCCAATTTTTTTTTTCGCCATCTACGTATTTAAAGGGGGCGGGGCCTTCTTCTGGGGAGGGGTGCGAAAAATTCAGAAGCGTTATGATATGTGTACTGGTGGCGTACACGGAGGAGAGCATGGAGGAATCGCTTTGCACTCGGGGAGATAATTTGACACCGAACAGGAGGATTTGTTATCAACAAGTTTCGGGAAATGCTCGATTATAAATTCAAAATGCCGAGGAGTTGATTTACAATTCGTTAGCGGGATTAATGTTTTTATCATTTGAGGGTTTACATCCGTCAATCTACCGTGGAAGGAGCTCTCATACTAACACATAGTAGCAAGCCTTAGCTACACGGGGTCTCTGGGGCCCACTTCCAGGGACACCAGAGGCAGGGTTAGCCCACTGGGTCAGCCCCACCTACCGGAATGTCAGATGAATGGAGTATGAGGTGTCGCTCCGGTAGCATCTGGTAAGGGGGTTGGACAGGGAGATTGACCAGTGCTCTCGGGTTGCACCTCCTTATTACTGGTCCCTCCTACTTTTGTTCCCGCTGCTGAAATTAGTGTCTTCCCACACTTGGCAGAGGCATGAATAATGGCCGTCGCAAGAGAAAATATATCTTTTAGTTGTGTCTTAATATAACTTCTTATTGCATTACTGCTGTTGTGTCTCATGAAGGGGCTTCAAAGCGAGCGCACATTTTGCAAAAGAGGTGCACCCCATTTTTTTTTTTCTTTATGAAGTGCCCTCATACGTATTCAACTATTTTATTTTATGGCTACCATGCACACACAGATACTGTATAAGCCTGTTGATACATGTCAAATGAACTGCGATACCAGTATATATTGTAAATTCCTGCACAGCTCTGCAAGTCATATTGCACACACTGCTTTATATTCCTTATCATTATTCCTTCTACTATCTTTATTGCAGTGCATAAATAAACAAGGTAAAATCCTCCTACAGTATATCTAAAAAAAAAAAAAAATCCAATAAAGATACTGTTGCAAGTAGTTACAATGACCCGATTGGTTTCTTGTCATGTCATGTCACTTGAGGAGGGAGGAGGGGGAGGGGGGGGTCGGCTTTGATTGGCTGTTGTGATGAATGCCCACGTCATTTGTTGCAGTGGTCTGAAGACGATGAAATAAGACAGCGGTAGTAAAATGCAAAACTCTAATAATGCGGGCAAAAGGTGTCCACAAAAGTAAAGACTGTGCGCAACATACGAGCATAATGAGGAGGTGGTTGTCAAAGGTTTTTCTGATGATTTTGTAAGGATGCATGAAAGGAAATGAAAGATTGTAAAAGGCCTAGGTGATGTGATGTGAATTCATAGGCTCTTATGACGGATTTCCAATTAGTTGCACTTACTGTAGGTTTTCCCTCGACACAGCAAACGCATTAAATGCTGACAAGCCATCAGTAAGGCAGCATTTACTGGAACTATGAGGCACTATTACATCAAAGTAAATACTTTACCATATCTTCAAATATGTCAACACAAGTACCCATCGGAAACACAAAAACGCATCATGAAACCAATAAACTTATATTTCATTTGATTTAAATTCTAAAAATAGTAACGTGTCACCGTTTCCTTAAAATAAGAACCCGATGTTCGTTTTTGAGGCAACTCATGGAGTGTTTCCTGTTTTTTTTTCTTGTTACACTATCACCAGTTATTTCCGAGAAAACGTCATGTGGTTAATAGTTGAAGGGCTTTTTTAGGAGATTGTGGCAGCCAGACTGCCATGTTAGGCACTGAGCACATTTAACAATAGTGCCATTGTTACTGCGGCGAAACAGCAATGTCATACGGCCAGTCCGAAGAGCAGTTCACTGCAACATGGCTGTTCAACCCTCCCCCACACTGCTTTCACTGCCACAGCTCCTGCTGCAGATCTCTTCTCATACACACTCTGTATGTTCCACTATATGACGAGTACAAAGATCCAGTCTACTTGTTTTGTTTTTGCTTTTAATCCAGAGGCATTTTAATTGTCTGCACAGTCTGAAGCACTCACACGTTTTTTTTTTATTGTATAACACAAGAGGTATCAAAGTGTGGAAGTGTGGGTTAAAATTGACTTTGGGATTCCCAATGTTTTGTTCCAATATAGTGTATTTCATTTTGCATGCATGACACTGCCTTTTTTTTTTTTAAACATTTCTGTTACAAATAAATCTTCAACATTAACATAGCCAAGAATCCAGGGAGTGGCAGCGCCTCATGCCCACAAATACTTGTTAGTGAAAACATTGACACACAACAGCTCACACATCATTCTTTGTGTATCAAGATTATAAGTGTGCAAGACTATCATCAAGTCTGTAACAATTGTCATCCACCTTCTGCGTGTTTCAAGCTGCTAATTGATCCTTTTCATTTATGTAAACGTTCCACAACAGGCAGCCAGCGTCCTTTAAGTCAGGACCTATAAACTACATGACATGTTGGCTTGCCCATCATCAGATTCTATCAATAGTGTCTAATATTGTAGCTCAAGATTTTTTACCCCGTTGCAAAAGGAAAAAAAAAAAAAGATACAACACAACAAAGTCCAGTATTTGTGTGTACTGTTTAGGATGGCACACCACAGATTATACAGTGTATGGCCCTAACAGGAATATGTATTCAAAATATAGCCATTTATCAGTAATAGGTAACATTATTAAGACTACAGGATAGGAATCTTTGGGTGAAGTTGCATACATACACACACACACTATCATTTAAATGTCAGAAATGAGTGTTCACATATCAGTTAATAAGTTACTCGTCACTTGAGAGTAGTGGATTGTACAGGAGAACTCTAAATGTGTAATGGGTATAGTTGTAATTACAAGATGTATTAGGCTACAGTACACCGCCCGTTAAATAACTATGTTAACAATATTTTTCATTCACCAAAAATACTTCACTTGACTTGCCATAACTGAAACTGGACAAAAGACAAGATGGGGTTGGAAACAGATTAAGATACTATTAAGACTCTTCTAGGTATGTGACCTGGATAAAAAATAAAAAAAACAGAAAAAGGTCACCAGCAAAGAGACTGCCCTCATCTCGTTCTCCTGTGAAGAACCGATGTCTCGCCCCCCTCCTGCTCTCAACCGCAGACGAAGCCGCTCAGACAAAGAATGAAAGGGAAACAAATGGCTGAGAGTGTTTGTTTTCTGGTGTTGGGACATTCCCCTTCTTCATCTTCTTCAGTTCTTTTTTAAGGTTGTAACACTCTTGCATGCCGAGACTCTCTGTGCCGCTGGGAAATGTTGCCCTCTGCTGGTTGCACGGTGGCACTGCAGGGTCATGCCTTCCCCAATGTGGATTTCAGCCCCCTCAGAGCAGCTTGAGGCTCCCAGTGACATTGTTCACCATGTCCTCCTCGCCCATGATGGCCAGGACAGTGCGGGACCCAGACTCCACCTGCAGGAGATACGAGAGCTTGTTCTATTGCTGATATCTCATACATCATCACACCAAGCACGGATAATATTTGATAAAACTTTAACACAAGATAGTTTTCAAAATGGTCAAGTTTTCTTACCTGGGTCAGCCCTGCATCCTGGACCAGATAAGTGGGCAGGCTGAGGCTCATGGCCAAGGCCTGCAGCTCTAGTAGATGAGCCACATTGGTGCCCTGGACCACCACTTTCTTGGATCTGTATCAGCATCCAGAACAAATACCAAAAATGTATTTAAGCAGGCCCAAGATGTCACAAAAACAAAAAAAATCTTTTGTAAAAGGTCTGTAGAAATTAAACAGAGCAAATAATCAAGTGCAGAAAGCCTGTAGCTATGCCAGGTCAAATACATGAGGTCGACCTACGACTGAAAAAAGAATGCAAAGTGGGGCAGCTGTCCTGACCCACTTTAAAGATTACACTTCTTTAATTCTAAAGAGTTCGGGGGGGAAAGTGATTAAGAAAACATTCTGAACGAAAATGAAGGTACATTATATGTGTACACACTACAGGAATCTGACTGTATTGGATTAACATTTTAGATTTATGCTTGATCCTCCTACAGAGAAATATGCAATGTTCATGGACACATATCTTAATTAAATGTAAAAGCGATTTGAACTGCAGAACTGTGTACGAGCAGCACAGTTAAAGCCTTTAAGATTGCTACTGTTAATCGTTCTCAAAGGTCATGCCTTGCAGCTCTAATGCTTTGCTGTAATTATTAAATGAATGGTCACTGAAGCCTCATTCACAAGGGATAAGTATTAGCAGGACACCTCATGTGATGTAGAAATGGACCCCCCCGTGTCCGTGTTATGGGCGTCACATTTGACGGATAAGCAAAGTCATTATTTTCCTCAAATTTACAGATATTTCCCCCCCAAACATAATGTCACAGCTTAGTGCAACGTTCTTATCTAAAGGAAACTGTAATGGGCTATGAGGTAATAACAGTTGATCATGCTGAAAAGTTGTTACATTTCCCTTTTGATGATTTTAGCTACTTCTCTATGCTCACACAAAGAAAACAATGGAGCTGCCAAAAATGTATTACTCGACTAAACAAGATGCAGAGTCGCATCCAACTTAGACTTGAGCCTTGTGTTTGGTAAGACATAGCAGGTAGTTTCAATGGAACTTAAATAATGGAGATGGCACGCTTACAGAGGAATAACATCCCTGACCTTGACATTTTTTTACAAATCGCAAGAAATCCCCAGTGTGTACAAGTCCTTTGTGATGGGGTTACATAATAATCAGCACCATAACATTTGATGTATAGGACGCACAAGAAACTGTACAAGCCTTACCCGCTGTGGTCCCACTTCCAGGCCATCTCCCTCCAGCTGTTCTTCTCCTGTAGAGCCTGGTACAAACCCACAGCAGCATGGCCGACCTGGGCTGCCACCTGCACAAGCAGTTCACACCTTCACATTAAAAGCATCCTGCAACTGGCATCTATGTGTTGTTTCTAACAGACTTCAAATAAAGTCACATGCTAAAAAAGAAAAAGGAACTGCCTCATAATTAACAACTTGGTGTGTTGGAATGCAAACTCGGTCCTGAGACATATTTTTAAAGGTTTTCAGTGCTGACATGATCATAAAGTACTTTCCAGACAAATACAAATACATAAAGGCTTTGTTAAATAAAAGAACACAGAGCAGCTTTGTCTGTGACCAGAGATAGTAGGTTTTAAATATAGCGCTTAAGAGCTTAAAAGGAGGCCTGATTAAAGAAAGAGTTGTCAGTAGCAGAACACATGACTAAGACATTGTTCAATGTCGGGAAACACTGTCTTTGTGATGGCTTGTGTATCTACACTGAACATTTCCCTCAGTCTTCTTTGGCACGGCTGGACTTGCCTTTCCAACACCCATGGCGAGGTCCATGTTCACCACAAACACCATTTTGAACATGAGGTCATCATCTCCCTCCTCCTGAGGGTCAGAGCACACAAAGGGGAACACTGAGATTTGGCTTTGGACAAACTCCACAAGGTCTAATGTACCAAGGTGTACCTGTAGGGACTAAGGCTAGCTTATGGGCACCTCATTCTCCAGCTTGTTGTAGTAGTACATGGCCGCTTCCTCGGCAGACACGTTCCGAGTGTGCAGTAGTGCCTGGAGAGGTGAGGAACAAAGACAGAGGTCAGTGATCTGAGCAGTGACTATCTTTCATTTTGACAAACATTGAGTAACACATTCATATCAACTACATCTTTGCACAATATCATATCAATCATAACTTTAAATTTAAATAATCGGGGTCGAAGCAGCAGCAGCAACGAGTCTAGCCGCTGTTGTAAATAACAGGTGAATCCTGAAGATACAGAGCAAAAGCTATTTCTAGAAAACATCTCAATATTCTACATATTTAAGAGTGTGTTATTGAAAATCATTAGATTATTTTAAAGAAATGAGTTCTGTATTGGGGGGGGGGGGGGTACAGACATTTGACCGGCTGTAGGATGAAGGGGCATTGAGTGTCATGTGACTTCATGCCAACATTCAAAAAGGTATAATTCGCTTTTATCAAAATCCAACGGGGGGTGTGCGTTGATGAAGACACTGATTAGGATCTAAATGTTATTTTGTTTTTGAAAATAGTTTTATTAAGGATTAGTTTTAGTTTAGTTTTATTAAGGATTATTTCTACAAGTTCTTGTTGATAAATGATGAACTGGATTTTCAACACTTTGATAAATGTATGAATCCTGGAGGATACATGGTCCAGATAGTTGTAAAAAAACCAGGATAATTACTCACATACAGACATGTGCTTTATAGATGATTGATAAAGAATTACTCTCTTTTAAATGTGTTTTATTGATTATTTAAACCAGTGAACCCATGTTTGATTTGACGGAACCCCATCATTTCTGACAAGTGCAGAGTGAGGCTTTGCATTGTGCACTAGTTTAAATGTTTGCTAAATGTTTGTATAGGGTTGGTAATAAAACAACAGGAATATTGTTGGTAACAAGTTGATTTTTATTCAGAGATAAGAGTTTTTAAATTGTTTTTACAACATCTGTCAATAAATAAGTCAATTCATTGTTTATAAAATGTTTCAAACATTGGTATGTTTATCAGAAGGGGTAAATGTTTTATCATAACCTAAACAGTGGATGTATTCTAGGAGACACAGAGTGTATATTGGAAAAAAGGGTCATCTCCAAATATTCATACGTGTCTGCCCTTTAAACGGTTAATGAGGTAATATTTCCAAGTTGCAGTGATGACGAGGTTACAACGATTGACACATGGATTGATTCATCATCGATGCTACAGTAAGTGAAGAACACCTTCATATGAGCACATGATAGTTTTCCGTAACCTTCAGGGGCCTCTGAATTTATTCAGATCGATATTGTACGGTGGCGACTTTGGCCCACCAGCACACACCGTATGACTGTAAAACAATAAATAAAGTAGCATATATTGTTGTGATGAAACGTTAGATTTACTCCCACAGTGGGGAATTGGGATTTGTCAAGTAATGTCGTATTTAAGTTAGAGAGTATTTAAATCATTGAAGGTCAGTGATGTGGTATTTACATTTTAAGACAAGTTTCACTGGGACTCACTGACAGAATAATGAGAGGTTTCCTACAATGGAGCTGTGTGGTTATATTAAAGACATTACTGCATGACTGTGGTACAACACTGCCTCTCTTCTCTGCTGTTTACATTACTTTCTGCTATTTATCATACCAAGTCACTTTATCTGGTCATTCCTGCAAATACTGTCTCAATTCTCAACTCCCCCCAGTGAACTTCATTCATTTTGTACTTGTATATACCCCCTGTTTTTATTTTTATTTATCTTATGTATTCTGTTTAATGTGTATTTTGAGCTTTTTTTTGTCTGTGCTGCTGCAACGCCCGAATTTCCGTTTTTAATTCAATTATATTATCCTATCCTTCAAAAATCAATCAATCAATCAGAACTACCATGCATAACTGGGAAACCCTTGTATAAAGATATGGTGTATTGTAACTGATACGGTCTTAAATAATATTTGACAACATTTTAAAGTCATAATAATAATAATAATAATAATAATAATAATGTATGGTTTATATAAATGTGGCCTAAACGCTGAAACAAGCTCACACCTGTTTCGCTGCCTCCTCTGGGATGTCCAGCTCTCGGAGCTGCTGCAGAAACACAGGGTTAACATCCTGGGAGGCAGAGTCTGGACCTGACTGCTCTGATGGCTCCATCCTTCACTGCAAAAAGGGAGGAAAAAACAGTCAAAGTAAACACCCTCCGTGCACAATGCATGAAGAATACCATCAGGAATAACAAAAAAAAAAAAAAAAGCTGGCAATGCCACCAAGGCCCGACTTGATACCATCAGCACTTACATGAACATGCAGACATATTTAATTTAATTCAAATGCAATGCAAATGCGCAAAACACAACAGCTAACTGATTAAAAACAGACATTTGGCCTTGAATTCACACATCCTGTTGTGTTTTCTGCACAGACTGGTTGTGTGGTGGTAAACTGAGTCTACTTGAATTGGGTTAAATCGTCCTTACTTTCCAAACAAGGCCGTATTATTAACTGACTCAACTGAATTTTAACGTCCTCTTACACACTCAAGGGTTGAATGTGAAGAGGACTTAAAATATCTTGCACGTCCTCCAGGAGTGACAGGTTTACCTGAACAAGTGATGACTTAGAGAAGATGACTTTAAATATTGTGTTTGCACGCCATTCACAGTAGCATCGACAACAATGCAGCTAACGTTAGCGAAGCCCGCTCCTTATATACTCATTTATATTATAATTTACTACAGCCATGATGCTTATCACATATTAAACCATGCTGCTAAACATTTCTGATTTCTTAACTCACATACAACACGACTGTTTCGGCTTCTTTAAAGATAATGACACAAAGATGGCTAATGTTGGCATTAGCCGCTGAAGCTAACGGGGCTAGTTGCCTATAGTTACCTGTTTTTGCGCAGCTTGCTCGACAGCAGGAAAGAGGACGGCAACAAGGCTTCAGTTTTAACCTACAATTAAAGAAATGTGTGTTTGAATGTGTTTCAACATTCAGCGGGGGACTCCGGACTGCTGTCTTCAGCGTTACTCCATCTTGGACTTGTGTGTTTGATGATGCCTCTTGTCGACTGGGGTGTTACGGATTTTCTGGTGATATAAATTATGTTGTGATGAGATGCGCACGCAGCAAATGTAGCCTCTTCAAAGTCCTAAAGGAAGATTATATTATATATATCCATGAGAAACAGCTGTAAATGATTTAATTTAATACATATTAATTTTATTATTAAATAAGTTTTATACTTCTTCCTACTCCTTTTCAGGCATATCGTTTGAATATATGTATTTTTTTTTTTTTTTTTTTTGTCGACTGGATTTATCAATCATTAGGCTTTTATTGAAAATATTAAAATACATTGTTATTTTCTCTTTCCACCCCATGTGATGGAGAATCTGTACAAAACAATGACAGTAAATAACCATAAGAGCGGAGCTTTAAAAATGTTTTATTATTATAAGAATATATACATATCAATATATAATATATTCATATTTAAGTCTAGTAATGTTTAGTTAAATCCTGGTTGTATATATTCTCATTCTTAGTTTTGATATTTTTAGTGCTTATTTACTTTGTATTTAATATTATATTGTGTTTAAATTAGCTAACATTGTGTTTTTTGCTCATATTGTGTATTTCGACAACCTGCTGCTGTAACGCCACAATTTCCCAGTTTGGGATCAATAAAGTAATTCTATTCTATGTTTTTGACTTAAGTGAACATAAAAAAAAACATAAAGTCTGCATAAAGTCTCCTTTTTTTTTTTTTTTTACAAATAACTACAACGATCTGATTGTAACATGAGAAAAATCACATCCTAACAATACAAATCAAAATACTAATTTCTTTTAATGATATTTTAATCCATTCCTATTTTGAATAACTACAGAGTAAATTTAAATCTTTCAGATGACATTTTTAAATCTATCAGTAATTTAATATCTCATCACAAATCATGCTCTGTAATTATAATTATAATACCCCCGACAAAAGGGGGTGAAACTCTACTGTGGCCTATTTTAAATAATGTGAAACACTCTGATTGGTTTATTTGTTTGTGGATTTTTTTTGGAGTCAGACAGAATTAGTCATACACTCTGACATCTTAAAAAGTTATATTTATTGCAAAAGTTGAGGGATCTGAGTGGTCTAGTATTGACAGACTTTGTATCAAGTTCAACATTTGTTAAAGGTGTATTGAATCATTTTAAATCTGGAACTCGTGCGATGTGTGTGAAGTGTCTGATGAATTATCCCAAACAGTTAGACCATGTATCCTACTGATTGACAACTCCATTATTCATTATTCATTTAAACTGTCCAATATACTGAATCTTAACCGGTAAGTAATCTGTAAATGTGCAATACTAAAACTACCGTTCATCTGCACTTTTTTCTTATTTTCTTTAACTCTCTTTATTCATATCTTACTCTTCTATAACGTGCATCTGGTAGTACCCATGTAGTACTTCTTCAACCCTCTTGCTTATCTCTTATTTGATTCATATGACTTTATTTCTACAGCTATATTGTTTGTAAGATCATCTGTAAAAAACAAAATTCCCCCAGGGGATTATAAAATGATCTGATTCTGAAGGTGTAATGGTTTGAATGCTCTCATACACAAACCTTATCCAGGAACCTCAACAGATTAAATAATAATGTGGCATCTTAAAAGAGAAAGAAAACACGTATGCACATTTTAAGAATACTTTATTACATCAGCATCTGTGAGAAGTTGCCCCTTCTCTTATTAAACCGGTTAAATCACTACAGTTACATTTTCAAATCAGTATGTACAATGATATTAACACACAAAATATCCTTAAAACTGCTCCTTGCAGAGCCTGCTCTACATTGCCAAATTTTTACAACAGTTATAGTTTTGTTCCTCAGAGAGCGCCGACTTTAGCGACACTGAACTCGTGTTGAAGGATGCATGTATGAACCTATAGGTGACGCTGAGCACGGGTCCTGGGAATGACACACTTTAGGCCAAACACACACACACACAAGAAGGAGGAGGAGGAGGGGCAGAGAAATGAGACCGAGTGAATCTTTTCACTCACATCCTGTTGGGTTACTCTCTACTAGGGCTGGGTATGAAGCCTCATTACTTATTTAGAGGAGACTAAACTGTGTCAACAGCTCTGAATACAACAGCTGGAACCAAATTTGGCACTTAAATGGGTCAGAATCTCAGTCTGGGTTTCTTATGGATATTGTGTGATTATTGCACCTTAAAAAAAAAAGTGTAAACATCCTGCAAACTTGATTAACTCGCTGCTGATACTGTTGTGTACTCATACATGTCAGAGGTTGTGTATAAGTCAGTGGATAGACGACAAACATCCCATCATACCCAGCCCTGATAATCACCCTGAAACCATCTCAGTCTTTGTCCTGTCAAATAAAAAAGCAAACATGAGCTCATGTTTAATAGGCCTCTGTGCTCCAAATGAAAGCAGAACAGTGTGAAAACAGCAGGAATATGATTAATGCCAACCTGTAACAACTGGACCATACAGACCCTTCAGCGGATGACGCAGTGCCACCTCGCGTTCAAATAAAAGACAACACCAAAACGTTTCAATACGTACCGACACCTCAAGCTTGGGAGTGGAAGAGGATTCAAGGTCTAAAAGGAATGTTAAAAATGTACAAAATAAGAGTATCACTGACGTGCACTATAAAACACAGCGGTTTGCACTTCATTTAGACGAACTTCTTCATGGAAGTTTTCCCCCAAACATCTTTCCAGTGACGTGTACACTACAGCCACATCCACATGAATAAGTAGAAAAGCAGGAAACAATAAAAACAAAAAAAAAAAACAGTCACTCAGTCTGGTTTAAGTACCTTAAAATGCTCGATAGACGAGCAGATTGTGATTTCTAGTTTCACACAAAGGGAGAAGATACACTAGACATGTTTGAAATGTGTGTGAGTGTGTGTGCAGGTGTGTCTAGCTGATGTCTATGTGCAGAAAGACAGATCAGTCATTTGTTTCTCCAATAGTTAGAAATGTTCGCAGCAGTGTTGTGTTGGGTCAACAGAAGTAAGTTTAGTATTCAGAGGTAGAGAGCGGCACTGACTTGTTCAAGTCCCAGCGTTCAGCCTTCAGTGAAGGGGCTCGTAGAAATGGATGTGACCCAGGTTTCACTCTTAAACACATGCCCGTGTCCAGAAAAAAAAAAACTATGGAGGAGGATAAGGGTCATATGTAAAGAAAAAGTATTTAAGTAAAACATTTAAAGTCTGAATGATTTCTTTAATTTTAGAAGAAAAACAAATAAAAACAATGGTTAAAAAGGAATAAAAGAGTCAGAATTTAGATTTTTTTGGAGTCACATAGCGGACTTAAAAATTTTTTATACTTCTTTTACTTCATATTTTCCCGTTATTCTTAAAAATCTTACTTTGTTGTTGAAATTCTGAATGTAATCTCAACATGTCGCCTTTATCCGACACATGTTGACTTTCTTTTACTTATCATCAGACGTCTGACTTTATTATCAGGGTTCTCACTTTAAACTCAATATTTGAAATTTGATTTAAAAAAATAAATAAAAATCAGTTAAAAAAAGTCAGAACAAAATGATCAGAGTGAGATATCGGAGTTTAAAAATTTGAATGGTGAGACGTGTGTAAAAATCTGTCTGTTGAAACCATCTGAGTTCATTGTTTTCTGAATACTGCTGACATCTTAAAATATAATAACCACTACTTTGTACTAGAAGCAAGAAAAACTGAAAACATCAGATGTAGATTGATTACCAGGGCAACACGGATAAATGGTGACACACACAAATCACCACACACACACACACACACACACACACACGCAGAGAAATCACTTTGGACCGTACAGCAGTGACAAGCACAAAAGGCATAAGAGGTACCGCTTCATAAAATTCACTCCAGAGTTTTAGGAGAAAAAAAAAAAGGGGGGGGAGGCATCTATCTCTGATTCTTCAGTCTTTAGATCCGATCAGCTGACTGTGGATCAGCGGGTTTCTTCTGCTGTGTAAGACCATAAAGTTTGACGTCCAGCACGTGTTGTGAGTAGATAAAAATGTTCCTTAATGAGTCTCTTCATGAAGGGAACATGTGGACAGCAGGCTCGTCTGGTATCACACCCCTCCTTTCTTTGTGTCCATGTGCTGCTCTTCCTCTATCGAGGGTCTCACAGTGTCCACACTGAAGATACTGGTTCATCCTTAGCCAACTCCAAAAGCAAGGATAGAAGATGTCAGGGTGTGAACTTCAATGCCAAACTGAATCTTCTGATCCTCAGTGTTAAAAAAAAAAAGAAAGTTCTCTTCAAAATCTCTGCTTTGACTCCAACTCTTCCTCCACAGAGGACGGTGAGTACTATCCTCCCATTAGTCTGTCTGCTGTCATTTCTGTTTTCAGTTCAGCCTGCAGGGGGTGCAAGTCTCCTCATCCTCCGCCCACTTCCCGTCCCGCTCTGTGTACTCGTCTCTGGTGGGTGTTTCCTCTGTCACAAGTCGGTGACTTTATTCTCCACGGCGGCCGCGATCTGCTGCAGTCTGTAGCCAAGCTGCATTTTCTGGGCTGTGGGGTCTTCCTCCAGCGCTGTGATGATCTGATGGAAAAGATGGATATCATACAAATATTAGGTTTATCATTCTCGTAACAGAAAGACAACGTTTAAAAAAACACATTATATCTTGTGGTTAACCTTTTAAACAGACTGAAGTAGGTGATTTAATCTTTAAAGATTTGCTGTTTTTTGTTAGTCCTAAAGGGAGTTTTCTACCCAATAGACTTCCACCCCAACCTGCCATAAGAAGCTGTGATTGGTTTGTACTTGGGCTCTTTCACCCCATAGTGCAGGACATTGTTATCTATGCCCATGTTGACTCGTTGTTCGAGCTCCATCTGATGTTTTCCTCAAAATAACCCAGTTGAGTTGGTGCCTAAATGGTGAGTGGGGCAGACGTTATTAGTCAGGGTCTTTCACTACCTGTCATCTTCCTCCCTTGTTGAAAAGTCTTCAAACTGATTCTGCTGAAGCTTGAAACTGGTCACTAGATAACTTTACTCACTAATACAAAGTACTAGAGGATAAGATTCAATCTTTATCACAACTGTTGGGACTGATTGTAGTAGAGACAGGTAAGATAATGAGATAAAAAAAAAAAAAGGAATTGGCATCTGTCTTCCATCAAGACTTCTCTGGTACAGTTGAAAAGTGTGTCGGTGCATGATGTAACTGTCAATATAATAATATAATATAATATATAACTACTAATAAGACTGTTAGAAGAGTACTTGAACATCTGCCTCCTTGCTGCAATTTTCAGAACCACCACCAGGGGGTGCTGAAGTCAAAATAATCACCTGACTAAAGACTAATTCCTCCTCTGAAATGAAAAAATAGGGGTGTCGGGTACACTAATGGTTACAACGCGCACCCCATAAATTGAAGCTATAGTCCACGTTGCAGCGCCTGGGGGTTCAATTCCGGCCTCAGCCCTTTACTGCATGTCATCCCCCTCTCTCTCCTCCCTATTTCCCTGTCTGTCTTTAGCTGTCCTATCCAATAAAGGCAAATATCCCTTAAAAATATAACTAAAAAATAAATAAAAAACCTGAATCCAAAAGCTGCTGGTTTGACATGCAGCTCCTCAGCTTTAAATGCAGGTTTGTACAATGTCAGGCAGAAGTTGTGATTTTAATATACAATGACCTCATTCCAACTTTTAGAAAAGCATTATGATATGACTCTATTGTGATGCATGTCGACAGTGCACAAACCATCACTCAGTGATATATACACACCTGGTCGTAGTATTTGTTGATGTACTTGTAGAGCTCGTGAAGGGCCACCAGGTAGTTCAACTCTCCAGAATAATTCTGAAACACAAAGTATTCATGTCAAGAGGTCTGCATGCTGCATCGCTCACACTGAGGGGCTCTGAGCAGTGAAAACACTCACCCGAGAAAGTTCAGCCAGAGCGGAGTTCATCTCCTGGTCACTGGCTGAGATGGTCTGCCTGATGTCTGCATAGTACCTGAAATAATCACACCAATGACATCAGGTTCACATGCATGGGCGAGGTTAACAACTGCTTTAACAAGTAGAAGTTACAGATTTTACATTTTGTTACATTCTAAAACAACTAATATCAGATTCTTCAATTCACAGTCCGCATCCCCAAGAAGATGTTAACATGTTTTCATTTGAAATGAAATCCAAGCCCACCTTTCTACCATCTGCTTGTAGCGGGGGATGTCTCTGGCATACAGCAGCTTGTTGATGGGAGAGTCCTGTGCAAAGAGAACAAAGTGATTGAGAACCAAAGAGAGGCTGTTCATCAGCTTGTGTCTCAGTGTCATCGACTCCGTCTGTGCATGCTGCACAGCTGCCGCCAACTCAAACATCATTCAAAAGCTTTTGAACTTGATATGCTCTCACCCGTCCCAGCTTGTGCTCAGCGATGGTGCAGGAGTCCATGAAGGTCTGGGAGATGACGGTGAGCACGGCGTCCACGTGGTCCGACGCCTGGACGTCGAAGATGAACTGAGGGTTCTTCACGATGTTGATCCAGAAGCGCAGAGGCAGACTGGAGAAACAGAGAGGACGTTAAGAAGTCTTCAACATTAAATACAAGACAAAAAAAACATTGCTTATTATTCTAAAATGATTTGGAAAAACTAATTTCAGTCCTTCATTTAACGGGGCAACACCGATCCATGTCTGTGTGTGTGTGTGTGTGTGTGTGTCTCTGCTCTACCTGTTGGTCTTCCAGATGTGTATCGTCTCCGGGTCCGAGATGCCGTGCTGTCCCGCCTGGTCGTCCAGCAGGTCAAAGAAGTATTTGACAGCCAGCGGGACAGGACGACTGGTGCTGAGGATTACAGTGAACAGATCGTCCACAAACTTCTGCAGAGTCCCCTGAAGAGCATGAAGGAGGAGGAAGAGTTTGTGTTACTGTCTGTTACTGAAACTTGTAAGATATCAGGAGGGTGTCAAAGTGTCAACTCCAGGAACTGCAGCACATGGGTGCAGCAGTTTATGTGTTTACGTACGTTGAATACGTCAGGGTGCTGTGAAACTGCGCCTACTCAGGGCATCAAAAAAGTGACACTCGGGTGTGTCAGACGTTCCTGTGGTTTTTTTAGCTCAGTCCAGTTGGTGTGCGGGTATCTCCTCTGACATTTATGAGTTAACACATAAGTGACTCCTGTTGCTGTATGCCCACATGAACTAAACCATTCAGTATTCATACTGCAGTATAGGATCTGAATACTCCAAAAAGGACTGTGAATTGGCTAGAATCTGGGACACAATATGTATCACAGTAGAGCGGGTATGGAAGAAATATGTACGAGGCAATACAAAGTATACGCCCTAACAAAATGTTCTATTTTGTTAAAATATAAAATTGAATCCTGCACTTGTTTTTAGCACAGATGTCAAACATCACACCACTACATTTAGTGCAGTCTGAGTGAAGACATTAACATTTGCCAACATCGGCTAAACAGTCAAATCTGTGCAAGTGACAGATCAACCAATAATCAGATGTGCTCTTGAGAGTAAATAAAGTATCCCAAAATAGTTTTGTGATACTGAAGTTTAATAAAAATCTTCCTCACAAGCCATGCTTTTTATTTTATGCCTTTATTCAGACACAGAAGAAGCAGAGTTTTTTTTTTCTGACACAACTTCACCAACTCAACCAGGTGCATGAAGAGTGAAAGGCTTGAAGAGGTCAAAAAGCTCCAGCAGTTGAAGATATGATCAACTTGATCTTTATGGTTGCAAAAATAGTTTCTTAGTAATTTAAAGAAAAAGTTGTGCACCAATTATATTGATAAACCAATATGATAAACATACCAGTTTAATATAAGTATTAAGAACTGGCATGGCAGCTGTATTAGAACCTCACTGTGTGTGTGTGTGTGTGTGTGTGTGTGTGTGTGTGTGTGTGTGTATACCTTCATGGACAGCAGGCGGGTCAGGTAGATCTCGGGGATGGCCTTGGCCCTCTCTCTCTCCCTCAGGCTGCCTCTGCGGTGTTTGGGCAGCTCGGGCTCCTCGCTGGCTTTCACCAGATGCCACAGCCTGACTCCGCCTTCATCCGCATCCTCCAGCATCGGAGTCTCTGCGGGGGGGGGAAACCATTACAAAAGCTTTATTTAGTCATAGCTACCTCCCTGCGGTGATGCCCTTCTGTACCGGTGACAATAATACTGCTGACTCACTCTCTCCTGCCACGTAGTCGTGGTTGTCATGGTGAATGTGTTTAGTGTGACGAGGGACCAGCGCTACTGTCGCACCATCTGGGACCTGATGAAGAAAACCAAAACATACAGTGAGCACTATCTCACCACAAACCCTCCTTAGTGAGTAAAAAAACATAAAGAGTAACTGTACCTTGTAGTGCTGTAACGTGTTGAGGCGTTTCCAGTTGCCCTGAACGACGGACGTCAAGTCCTCGTCTGACAGGATGAGATGACCGGCAACACCCGACCTCCACTCTGAACAAGAGACAGAGATGATTCATTAGAGATCGACATAATAATAATAATACATTTTATTTAAAGGCGCCTTTCAAAACTCTCAAGGTCACCTTACAGAGCAGAGATAAAAACAACAAAGTAACAACACAACGATCAAATTAACATTAAAAACAGAAATGTACAGGATGTAGAGGAGTTATGAGACCGGGTGGAGAATGATCAGACTGAATAAGCCAGTTAAAAAGATGTGTTTTGAGATGAGATTTGAAAATGGAGAGAGAGTCGATGTTATGGATTTGTGGTGGGATGGAGTTCCAGAGGTGGGGGAGGGGCAGAGCGGCTGAAGGCCCTGGACCCCATGGTGGACATGTCAAGCCTGCTCAAATAACACGCTGCTAATGTAGGATTAGGATGACCTAATGACCCTTTACTTCTTTCATAATGTGTGTGTGTGTGTGTGATGTTGCCATAACAACAGATTGAGATTACAGTGAAACATGTGCCTTTACTCCAGCTAGTGCTTTGCTTAGTGGAGGTTCTTTAATTAAAGATTTACAGCACATGACGTCATTTTAATGTGAGATAACTTTGGTGAAACACCGACCAGAACATGAACCGTCCTGCATTTATTTCTGTGTTACAGTAGGGGGCGCCACTGGACCACAAATAAAACACTTAAACACCAGCGTGTAGCCGTTCTGGAGAAGATGTAACTCTTAAAAAGCTTTTGATGTGATGTTTATAGATCCTCACCCAGGTCCAGTGTGTCAGCGTGGGGTCTGTGGGAGAACGAGGTGCTCTTGTACACCTGATCCAGCAGCTTCTCTTTCACCTGGGTGATGGTGTCACAGTCTAAAACTTTAGAGGGCAGCGGCTGGCTCTCGTTCACTCCTCCGCCCTGAACCAAGACATTCAGAGTCTGCAGGAGGAGGAGAAAAAAAAGTGTATTAAAAGGAGTCAAGGGGGATGTGTTAAGATTCCTTAATTAGATGCAAAGGTCAGACTTCTCCTCACCAGGGTCTTGTACTCCACGTCCTCTCGCAGCAGGCGGTTGTCATTAAGGGTGTACTTGGCCTTCCCCGTCACAGCGTCCACCGGGCCTTTATCTACCTGGTGCTTTATTGCCCTGAACAGCATGTAGAGAGACTCCCCCGCAGAGTCCTGCACAAACAAAAAGAACAACCGCAGACATGCCAAAGTTAATTAGTTAAAGCCTAACTCACTCTGCAGGAGAGAATGAAGCGTTCACATAACATGGACGTAACAACAAGGACGTCATTTAACCTGCGTTGAGTCAGCGACTCACAGGCTGAGGGCTGTGCTTTCGTCAAACTTTACCAAGAAAGTTGGACGTCACATTTTCACAAGATGTCCTTTAACTATTTCCTTAAAGTCTTATATGTGATTTTTCACACTTAAATGTATAAATCAAGTATATCCTCTGAAAATAACTCTGTGAGTCATGACTGTCTACAATGGGTGTAACACCCGAGTCCCACTGTCTATCCTTTCCTGTCCTATCTTCAGTTTGTTTACATCGCCGGGACGGCTGGCTGACTCCTCCCCTCATGTATAAAAGTTGTTTAATTGAGGGACTAGAGAAAAGAAGAATAACATACTGTACTCACTGCTTAACTGTGTTTCTAGATCACGCTCATTTCAGGTAAATTTACATGCAGTGTGAAGATACCAGCATAATAAAGATCGCTAGCATTAGCATGCTAACACAACAATGCAGCGCGAGTTGTTTTGGTTTCATGCTGGTGCTCAAGGGCGACATCTGCTGGATGAAAAAAAATCATATATAAAGCCTTAAAGCTTGATTGACACCTGTTTTTTTTTGTAGAAGCTAATCATGCAATCATGTGGTAAGTGTTGACTGACCCTGAGGAAAGCATAGAGGCAGATGGACATCCAGTTGGTCAGCAGCTTCTCCACCACCGTCTCCGTCCTGCAGAGAAGAACACAAGTTCAACCTCAATCTTAAATTCAAATACTTTGTACCGTTGCGATCACACTCTTAATCCTCCTTCTACCGTCGCAGCATCAGTTTGGGATTCTTGGCCACGTACTGCTCGACCAGGTCGTTGAGGAGAGTTTTGAGGATGTCGGTGAAATACTCCAGCTTGCCGTGCAGGGACACGGTCAGCAGAGAGGCCACGTACGCCCGGTCTCTGGGGGAGAAGGTCCGCTGGCTCTCCAGAGTGTGAATGAACTGAGAAGAAAAGGGGCAATTAATCAATCTGTGATTTGAAAACAGAGCCCCGTTGTTGTTGTTGTTGTGTGTAAATGACTAGTAGGTTTAAACCGTCCTGGAAAAAGTCCAACTTATTTCCTGAGCCATCAGTCAAAACGCAGCTGTAACGGCTGCAACATAATCCCCCGCTGGCCAACGAGCTCGGTCAAAGTGCACCAACTAAACGTGTTTGTTGTTGCCACCGACGGGCTCAGATTGTTATTGTAAGTCTCTCACAGCATTACATAAAGATCCCTAAAGAGACTGGAAGATCATTTTCCTCTAACCAGAAACAGCTGTGTCATCGCTCGCTTGAAAGGCACCAGACTCCATTGACAAAGACGGCAATTTAACCGCACAAAAACACAATTTTATCAAGTCTGCAGCTGCAAGAACATGTTACTTTTTTAACTTATTTTTAATACTTTAGTTTTTCAAATGGCTCGATTAGATACAACAGAAACTTTGCACGTCATAAAATCTTATAGATCGAGGAAGTGCTGGACAAAAACGACTCCACTGCGGATGTGTTCTGTAAAATGACAGAGTTTTAAAACCTGCTGTTTTAAAAAGCAGGATTTGATGACTCCTTATTATTGTTAGATGCCTTCTATACATACATACGCCTGTACATGGACGGGGGGGGGGGGGGGGGGGGGGGGGCGTTTCCCCTGAAAGATAACTGTGCAGCCATCAAAGCCGCGTCAGAGCTGCCGGCTGAAGCGATCGACTTGGGCCGTTCCAAAAGGGTTTCATTTACTATAATTTACAAACACAGGCTGGTGAATGACGATGGTGAATGACGATGGTGAGGATAGGTACCTTGGTGAGGAAGAGTTTACTGTTGAGCAGGTTGGACAGCTGCACCAGACCCTGCTCCACCGTCTGCCGCCGACACTCCTGAACGTCCAGGTCTCTCCTCAGAGGAGACTCTCTGTGGCCCGGGAAGAAGATGCGCTCGGCGTACTTCTTGTAGTCGAGGAAAGGGATGCCGGTGCCCACCAGGTCGCTGGACATGTCCATCATCTCCGTCATCAGGTCTGAAGGAGAAGGAGGCGGGTGGATCAGGGGTTGTTTGTTTTTTTAACTTTCTAACAGTGTATTAAATTCAAACCGTGTTGGGAGGTAACAGCAGCAGCTTAAATATTGACACTGGACTAAAATTAAACTCCTCTGCTGCAACATGTGGGATGAGAGGAACATTTCATTCAGGACGAGTGATGTAATGGGATGATTTCATGAGGCCGGTGTAAAAACAAAGTGGATCCTGTTAGCCTCCATGAAATAAAATAAACTTTCCTCCCTCTCTTTCCTGCTCTCCTCTCTTTTTGTGTCACTCTTCTTACCTGTGAACTCTTTCTTGCAGCGGTCCCTCACGCTGGTCTCCAGGTTCTCCAGTTGGATCTGGACCTTCTTGTAGTCCCTCAGAGCCTGTTTACTCTTCCTCCTGACGGGAGAACGACAAAGACAGGAGCGTGGGGGGGGGGGGGGGGGGGTCAGGCAGGGATAGAGCACAGAGGACAAGTAAAACCAGTTTCACACTGGATTAGTGGGATCCACTAAAACCTGTGAAAAAGGTTGACTCAAGTAATCTGACCCAACAAACCCCCCACCACCGCTCAGGATCGGGGTTAATCACAGAGTCAAGCTGGGTCAGAAAATGGAAACACTACCTGATTTGGTAACACCCAAAGGGGGACGACACTGATCCCCCCTCTCTGTGCGGCGTCTTGATCGTACCTCACAGTGTGATAATGCTGTTCAAAGCCCGGCACTCAGACAGCTGCTCCTCCCCCAGCCTTACGGACTACGCTTTTGAACTACAGGTCCCATGATGCTTGGTAGATGTTAACCCAAATAATAAAGTTGCACTAATTTCAATACGGTAAGTAGTGACTTCTACTTTAGCTTCTGTTGCAGATTTTTTTAAATTGTTGTTGTTAGAAACTCTCAAGGCTGATGTTTGTTTGTTATCAGAAAAGGGGGAACATGATTTCGGCTTTACGAGTCGAACTCAACAGTAGACGAGACACACAATCAGAGTCCAGCCACTGACCTGTAAATGAGAACGATGATGAGGACGATGAGAGCTACAATCGACGCCCCGACGCCGACTCCAATCTGAGCCTCGAGGGGAAAGGTGGCCAGGCCCAGGTTGTCATACTGAACCTTTCCCAGGGAGAAGTTCAGGTTGCCCATTTGGACCTGAAACACACAGACACAAACACTTGTTACTCCTTCTGTCAGAGGATGTCCAGGTGTCACACTGGGTTGAATTCTACTACTTGTATTTCTACATGTAAACGTGCTGAGGACTCACGGTGAACTCGGGCAGACTGTCGGAGCCCTCGCGCTTCTTGCCGTTGTGAAGCGGCGCAGGCTGCTGAGGTGGAGGCTCGCAGTACAGGTGGTTTCTAGTTAAAGTCTTCACAGCACACACACCTTCCCCGACCAACACAACCACCTCGTCCTTCGTGATGGCCAGATCCAGGTTTTCACCCTGACAGCAAAAGGAGATAGGAGTCATGATAGCATCTAGTTTAACCTCTAGTTCCTCTCAAGCTCAATAAAAACATTTTTTTTTAAACGTTAGTCAAGGATATTCATGTGACTAAAACAGTTCAAGCTTTCATTTTTACTGTGGCAAATGTTTTAACAGCTGTGAAATACACACTCGTCTGTTCCTGTACCAAAATGACAAACAGTGATGCTAACACCAAAGGCCATGATGGAATGAAAAACCCACTGGATTCAAACTGATTTTCCACAGCTGGGTTTAAGATTTTCTGATTTTAACAGACAGCTTGTCCTACTTTGTTAATCTTGGCATTCAGCTTGACATCTGTTGCAACAACAAAGAGTGAAATACCCCAAAACCCACTTTGGATGTTTGATGGAGCATTCAAATTGATTTTTAAAAAAAAAGGAAAAACGTTCACGGTCACCAGAGAATGAATCTTCTTAAATAGTTAAAAATATTGTGCCAAATGTAAATGTCGACTTGTCATGTTTGGTTACTTCTTTATTCTAACATTCCCGTCTGCCTCAGCTGTGTTGAGCTAAATGTTAAAGGCCAGAAGTCACACCTCAGGTAGTGGTTCCACGTTCAACTGATAATACTGTTAAGCATGTTGAAATGCTGCGGTGAAGTGAAAATATGTTTATGTTTCCAGATCCTGCAAGAGTCTGCGAGAAACTTTAAACACCATCAACATGGAGTCCCTCTTACCTCCAGCTGGATGAAGCTGCCGGGGTTGTAGCGGTAGGCTTTCACCGGGTCCTGCTGGTTCAGGGGCCTCAGGACCGGGTTGGGTTCGTAGCTGAAGGTCTGGGTGCTCAGGCCGCTGAAGTCAAAGCGCAGGTTGTCCAGCAGAAACTCCACCGTGACCTTTGAACCCCAGACGGACGAGTCCACCACGGGGGAGCGACACAAGATCAGGGTGGAGGAGTTGACCTCGCAGCGCTCCACAAACTGAGCAGACGGAAAGACGTTAAGTCAAGGGAGACACGCACACACACAGAGACACACACACACAGAAACACACACACACAGAGACACACACACACACAGAGACACACACACACACACACCTGTTTGACAGAGCACAGCGGGTCTCCAGGACAGATATGGTCAGGAAGCATCCTCACTGGCCTTTCCAAAGTCTTCCCTCTGCTTCCCTCCTGCTGCTCTCCACTCCTCCTCTTCCTCCTCCGTCGCTTCCTGCCTTTATTCTGGAGAGACTCTAACGGGGAGACCGTCACCACCATCCTCGGCTCCTGCACCACATCCAGGTTGTGGCCTGACACAAAGATCTGCCGCCCACCACTACACCCACAAACACAACTTGTGAATTTCTCAGCACTTTTCACTTCACACACTTTTTTTTCCCCAAAACAACAGGAGAGGGGAGGGGAGATGAAGGTCATACTCACTCCAGGAAGCTCTTTGCAGGCATGGCGTGGGTGATGTTGGGGTTGTTGGTGTAGCGGTAGGCAGGGGTGTTGAGGTGGCGTTGGCTGCTGTGGTAATGCAGGGTGACCCGGTGATCTCCGGTCTTATTACTGCTGCCTGTCACGCACTGAACACTGGACCTCTGCACCTCCGACACACTGAGGAGGAGGAGGAGGAGGAACAGATTCATAAACAATGTGACATTTCACTGACCCAAGGTCCAAAGTGTCCGTTCTCTCTCTCCCCCCCCCCCCCCACACATCAGGTACAAAGAGGCCAAGGGTCAGACAGTCAGCAGACAGAAACAGCAATTAGAGCAGCTTCTACTCTAAATAAATCAGTCTTAAGGCCCGATCACTTCTCTGTAAAACACTTTTTTTCCAAACAGTTTTGGGGCGCGCATTAAAGTTAAACAAATGTAAACTTTTCAGCTCAAGACACAGAGTTTCTCATCAGTGTCACTTTTGACCGAAGCAGCCAATCAAAACAAGGAGAAGGCGTGTTTAACTACTTCCCAGACTTACTGTTTCCTTTCCTTTCAATTTCTTGTCTAGGAGAAAAGCAACAGCGAGAGCTCTACGTTTGCTCCAGCCATATTTGCCACTTGTTTAATTTGGTCGCCTGTATGCACACCAACAGGCACTCCCAGTTGTTTTTCCCCCCCAGAACGCGCTCAGGCATTTTTGGAGCGGCGTGCAAAGTGCGTTATCGGGCCATTCGGCTCCATCCAAACTGACACGTTTCTGGTTAAAAAACGTATAACTTTAGGGGAACTGGTGGCGCAGTGGGTTAGTGTGCGAGCCCCATGTATGGAGGCTTTGCTCCTCCAAGCGGGTGACCCAGGTTCGAATCCCACCTGTGGCTCCTTTCCCGCATGTCATTCCCTTCTCTCTCTCTCTCTCCTGATTTCTGACTCTACTCCACTGTCCTATCTCTACATTAAAGGCAGAAAAAGGCCAAACATAAATCTTAAAAAAAAAAAAAAAGGATAACTTTTGATATGTTTGCTCCTCCCTCCATAAACATCCACACTTTTCTTTGTTGAAACTCCTTTATTGATGGTTTGGGAAACAGTTCTGGCCCTGTTTGAGTTTGAAAACGTAGGGATGTGAATTATTGTATCCTGGCAGAAACAAAGAGTTCCTGACACAAAGACACTTTCAGACAGGGTAGTCAGTCGGTCTAGTCAGGATGCATCCTCCCTGATTCCTAAGGCCCAAATCATTTGACCCTCGTCTTTAAAAAAAAGAAATATCAGCCTTAAATTATATGATTTCAAGCACGACTCATCTTGTTGTCACTGAGCAGTGAAATTGAGCTTTTAATGTTTTCTCATCAGGCCAACACTGATTTATGCTGTTCTGTCTTTTTTCTGAGTGCTGACTTACACCAACACATGCATGCTCAGTATATGTAAAATTATTTTTTTATATACATGTCAGCATGAAAGTATGGAAGGAGTTTCAAATTGGTTACACAGTGCCAGAGATCCTTTTCATTTGAAAACTCTGAAAATCGTTTAATTGTGGATGTAGCCTTACATGTTACAGGAGACCCCTCCCACAGTGATGCTGAGGTCAGAGGGACGTCCTGTCAGAAGGTGTCGGCCAGTGATCGTCAAGGTCGTTCCTCCAGCTTTGGGCCCTCGCTCAGGAGACACACCCATCACAAACGGGTCCTAAGAGGAAGGAGAGCATAGAAGAAGAAAGAACGTAAAGAACAACACCAAAAATAAACAGAGAGACGGCTGATGAACCAGATTAATAAACAGCTGTGCTTAACGATCATATTATACAACATGGATCTGGACTGACCCCTCCCGCCAAGGGGACAGTTGACCCAGGTCATGCCCTCAAATTGCCCCCAAAGATGAACAGAACCTGAAAATCCCATCACTGAGTCAAGCATTCAGTGTTTCCTTTAATGTGTTCCCCCTTTCTAAATCGAATATCTACTTTGTGAATAGACAGGTTTGCCAACTTGGAGGTTCATTTTTGGTTGTCTCATATGCACGGCTCAAATAACCTCCACACACACACACACACACACCCCGCAATAAACGCTCTCGAGGATGCGATCTGCGTCCCCCCATCATCACAAGATTACTAGAAGCTACATCAAAACAAATATTCCCTGTCAGCTGGACGTCTGCAGATATTTCTGCCAACGTTTTCTTTCATGAATGGAGAGGGGGGAAACAGATTAAACAGGCATGCCTGCTGTTGCCATGGTGATTTCACATGCTGTCTGTCAGTTTGTGCAGGGGAAATTAGAAAAAAAAAAAAAGTCCTGGATTAGGGAATCGGCTCGTGGCTCTGCAAACACTCTGAGATTTTGAGCAGTCGTACGACTAAAATATCAAACATGTCAGAAATTCATGCGACCAGTCGGGAGCAGCTGATCGGGCGCTGATCTGCTGTTGTGCATCAGTGAACACGGCGCGAGTAAAGACATTTTTTTAGTATTTTTCTTCAGACATTTTCAAGTCTAAGCAGTTAAATGATTACTTTCAGAATTTAAATAATTATAGGATTCCCCACTTGTCATACTCCTGATGTGTTTGTACTTCAAACTGTGATTGTTGGTTATAATATTCTTAAGCTGCTCACTACTGAAACAACAGAATTCAGAGACAGTAAAACGACATTGTAACTTCTTATAATGATCTAATCTTTTCTGCTGTACCTGGTAACTGAATGTCTGGCTGGAAATGCCAAACTCTCCTCCGCTCACTTTAACAGACACATGGCCAATCTTCTCTCCTCCACTCGCTTCGGTCCTGCACACAATCCTGAAAGACAGACATCACTCTCGGATTTAATGCATGCACCCTGGAAGTATTTGAAACATTTGAGCACATGTGAATGAGATTTTGCAAGGCTTCATTTTAATCCATTAAAGAATTCTTCCCAAAAATGTATCTAAAATAACTTTAAACTTTAAAGCAGGAAAATAAAAACAGCAAACATCTCCCCAGCCGGCTGCAGCTGTGTTCCTGTACCTGGAGGAGACCTCATAAAGGCGGGGGATGACGGTGCAGGGAACCCCAGCGACTAACACAGATTGGAGGATGTCTTCAGCCTTCTGGCCGAGGTTGGAGCCGGAGATCGTCAGCGGGGTGCCGCCGTCCAGCAGGCCAGAGAGAGGCTCGATCTGAGGGAAGACGGGAAAAACTTTAGCCAAAAAATTAAAAGATTGCACTTCAATATCACAGATCTCAGTTTAGACTCGGAAGGCAAAGAGAGAGCTCTGATTTGAAGATAAACGAAAAAGGTCAAAAGTCAGAACTCACAGAGTGGATGACTGGAGCGGGGCACGTCTGCTGCACCGGTTCACTGCAGGAGTCTGAGTACAGGCAGCTGGCGTGAGCACCGCTGCACCAAACACAGCCGTACTTCTGGTCGGCTGTGTGGCAGCGGCTGCAGTCGGAGCGTCCCACAGAGCAGTTATACAGAGTCACTGAGGACAGAGCAGGCGCAGGAGAGCATCAGACCGGGTTTAACGGTGTCGACATTGAGTGCTATGGTCAAGATAGTTTAAGATAGTTCTGCTTTTATTTGCTCTCAAGGTTTCATGAGAGGAGAGAAGCAGAAAGAGAATAAAACAATCTGACACAGTCTCATATAAATGTTAAAAAAGAAGATTTGATCCTCACCGTAGAGATCAGGAGAGCTGTCCACATGGAAGGTGTCCCTCCTCTTCACATACACCATGGCATTGTACTCCTCTACTGGAGCAGAGTATGTGTACTGGACCAAAAAAAACAACATATTGTTTATTACTTTATTTTATTATTGTAATATTTTAAAACATTTTTCCAGTATTTTCCGTCATGTCAAACATCCTGCACAGTTTCAGACCTGGTGTAGTTGACAGGTGATGTCATAGTTCGATGGATTTGTGTCGTCCATCTCCACGTAGGCGTCCACCACCACAGTCTGCCCCTCGATGACCAGCACACACTCGTAGTCCAGATCTGAGTCCTGCACACACAAAGACTGATGTTTAGCAAAGGGATCGCAAAGCAGGCAAATAAAGAGAGATAGTGTGTGTGTGTGTGTGTGTGTGTGTGTGTGAGTGTGTACCTGGTAGAGGTGCAGGTTGCGTGCCAGTAGCGTGATCTTTCTCTCCACTTTGACAGGCAGCAGTGATGAACCCTGGACCTTCTCCACGCAGGGACAAGCTGAGGAGCCCCAGCTGACATAAGAGCCCTCATCCCCCTGTTACCCAATACACACACATATACAAAAAATAAAAAAAAACAACCTCAACACATCCTCTCCTTTTGAGTTGCATTGTGGGTAATGTAGGCTCCAGGTTTTGATTTTTGGACATAAGAATGTAAATTATGCAGACATTATCTACAGCCCTGATTTCAAACATTGATGAGTAATGTAGAAACGATATATGTTTGAAACTAACATGTCACACAGACACAAAGCTCGGTTTTGGTCTTATATTATGCATGTATGTTTTTAAAATCTCCATTTATCTGCATTATTTTCATACACTATGAATCTCTGGTAGGCTCTTGACTCGGAGGTCAAAGAAGGGTGAACAATTGTATTCTCAAAAACAAAAACTTTCAAAGTGATACTGAGCTGCAAATGAGAGAGAGAGAGAAAAAAAACAGGAAATATGAGAACATTTATAGAGAAACAACTGCTCACAGTGGAGCGGTTGTTTCTCTAGGGATCAGTCTAAAAAAAAAGGGGAAAAGCAAAAACAACAAAAAGATCACAGGTGTGTGACAGCAGAGGAAGAGTAAGGAAACAAGGGCACACAGGGAAGCCTGTTCGAGCTTTGTTCCTGCAGCAGGAGCACAGAGTCCAGAAGAAGAAGAAGAAGAAGGAGGAGGAGGAGGGAGGCGGCTGGACTCACCGGGAGGAAGGCGTCAGCTGGATCGTACTGGTAGTCCAGCTCTGAGTCAGAATCCATCAGTTGTAGGTAGGATGGGGGGGCGTGGTCGACCTCACCGTCACCTGACAACACAGCAGCCGCCGAAAACGAGGTCGTGTCGTTTTCCGGCTCGGCGTGGACATCTGGGTCTTCTTTTTCAGGCATTAGGAGCTCATCCGAGGGGGCTTCTGGGCTTTTAGTCTGAGAGTCCTGTGTCGGTCCTGGAGTGGGAGCGAGGGTCAGATCCAGGTAGAGGGAGGGCTCAGGGTCGTCGGGTTCGCCCATCGGGAAGGGCAGTGGAAGGGGAAAGCCGGATGAGGTCGGAGTGGGAGGCTCTGCCAGGCTAAAAGCTCCCTCGGCTTCCTGGGCGTCGCTGGTGGGCGATTCAGTCACGACGTCCAGGTCGGGGGAGTCAGGATCTTGAGGCGGGATAATCAAAGGCATCACAGGATCCAGATCTTCGCTTAAGCCTTCAGCTGCTGTTACAGGATCTACGGCACCCATGAGGACGGTGGGTGTCACCGCGTCGCCTTCAGTGTAACTTAGTGTAACGACATGCTCCCTTGCTTCAGTCTCGTCTTCCATCGCCGTGGTAACCTCTGGAGGGGGAGGTGTGGTAGGTGCAGGTGTAGTGGAGGGCAGGGTGGTGGCCGGCTGAGTTGGCAGGGTGGTGGGTGGGGTCGTCGGCTCAGGGGTGGTGGTGGTGGTGGTGGTGGTGGTTGTAGTAGTCGTAGGTGGGGTTGTGGGTGCGGGAGTGGTGGTCGGCTCCTGAGTGGTTGCTACAGTAACAGGGGCGGCAGTTGTCGTGGGCGTAGTAACGGTGGTTGTTTGTGTTGTTGTTGTCATGGCGGCGGTGGTTGGGGCGGCCGTTGTGGTAGTGGATGTTGTGATGACTTTAATAGGTTTGGTGGTGGGAGGAGCTGAGGTGGGGAGTTTAAACTGGAGGAAGGGGGAGGAGGGAGGAGGAGGGAGGAGGGGAGGACATGAGGAGAGGGTGAGACAGAAATAAAAATCTAATGGACAAAGGGAAATGGAAATAACCAATAACTGAACAAAAACATGATTTATAACACATAACCTGCTGTTATTGTGTTATTGTTTCTTATGAAACGTACAAAGCAATGATTTTAGTTACAAAAATGTGATTTTACAGAAGAGGCACAAAAGATGACTTATGGTTAAAAAAAAAAAAAATCATTTGGACCATTACTTACCTTTCAAAAACACTCATGTAGATTCACACAGTGCAACCTCACAACAGCTTTTTATGTAACTGAACCAGAGACTGAATAGCTCTTTGTTTGGAACCGGTTTTTAACTGAGATTTACACGAGTAACTGTGTCGTGCAGCTGTTAAACAAAGAAGAGGAAAAGGTGGCCTGGAGATATATTTGGTGTTTTATTCATCATTCATTCTCTCTGCCTCATTAGAGGCATCCTGAGGCAGACTGAGCTTTTTGAATTTTAGGATGATTTTCAGAGCGAATGGGGTGGTGGCAGGGAGTTAAAGACAGCTAAATCCACGAGTGACAATAGACTCATTCAGACTGATGTTTCATGACATGATATTTACACCTCTGTGATGTTTCTCTTTCAGTTTGAATGATGTGGAGACGTAGGGGGTTTACAAAGTGATCCATCCTCTGTATCGCCTTAACAGAGGCGTTACTGGGACAAGACAGCACAGGCCGAGGCCAGCGGGGGAGCGCGGCGCTGTGTGTGCACTTCCACAAGGCAATGTGAATCCACAGACTGAGACACCAATATCATGGAGTTGCAGAATCAATATGAATGTCTTTACACATGATGACCACGGACGCATCGTTGCAGCGCTGTAGCGGAACTGCAGTCTGAAAAGGGCTAATGCTAGCATGACGGTCAACATGCTAAACATTTGGGATATTGAGGACATTAAAGAAGACAACTGCTTGTTGTGTTATGATCTGAAGTTGGGCTGATTCTGTCATATTTGCTGTGTGCCTCAGGCTAAGGTTAGCAACAGCTGGCAGGCAGCTGCTAACAGGAGTTGTGTTCTGCAGTTTCTTTGGTACATCATGAAACTCAAGCCTGGGCTACAGCTGTTTTTTAATCACTGCAGCATTATTTTATAAATCCACATTTGCTTTAGTGTAAGGAACACAATCCAATGAGACATGCTATGCAAATTAGTTTACAAATTAGCATCAATGTCTTGGTTCTGGACGGCAGCTAAAAGAAGTATAGTTTCAGGCAATCCTCAAAATCCATTGCAGGTTATTTGTTGGCTGTTATTTAGGGTAATTGTCTGAAGAGCAACTAAAGAGAGAAGTTCACTTCGTATTTTAAATTCAAATATCAAAATGTCTTTGACCTAACTTTTCTCAAAAAACTTAAGCACATAAAAAACCACTAAAACTAGAATCATATCCAAATCTGAGCGGGCTATAGTTATATCCATCCTTTACCGACTGAGTAACTTACATGGTGGTTGTAGATGACCACCCCCTCCTCACAGGTGGGCTTGTGGGTACACAGGTGCTGGTGAACGCACCAGTTACAGCCCCATCTGCTCGTAACACAACCACGACAGCTGCACAGAGAAACAACAGAGAGTACAGATCAGAGAGTTTAATGAAAGCGTCCGTGGAAGAATCTGCAGAAAGAACACAGATAAAAGCTAAAGGAGAAGCAAACAAGGAGTCCAGGGTCAGGAACCATGCAGAGAATAATGAAGAGAGGGTCCAACAAAAGAAGTGTGGGCTTGGGGGAAAGGATGATGTAGAGATAGAAAAGGTAGAGCTACTGTATCTGAGAGCACGGCATAATCAGATCACATCCAATCTGGTCCCTGTGGTAAGAAAGGTCAGCGATCTAATTGAATCGAGCCTCAGGTTTGATCAGAGTGCAGGAACAAAGAGAGGGAGAGAGAGAGAGAGAGAGAGAGAGAGAGAGGCTGATAGAGAGAGCATGTGTGGGAACATAGTCATCATTTCCCATTAGCGTTAGCTGTCTGCACTACAATTCTGTTGTGCTGAGCATGTTTGTGCAGACACAAGAGCTAAGCGAGACCAACGCAGAGAGTTTTTAGAAAGATTTGGAAAAACATGATTACGTCAAACGGAGCTTTCTCCTGATCCTAAACCAGAACCAGAACCAATCGCGGAGGAGCACAGCTAAGCCATGTTCTGAGCGTGAGCGAATGTAAAGATGTGGAGGCTACTGAGAGAGAGTGAAGGTACCTGCAGCCCCCCTTGGAATACTTTGGTGAAAGTGTTTAACGTAACGGGTTACAGGTGTGGAGAGAGGAGTTAAAACCAGGACAGCAAGAAGGGAGAAAAATAGAAAAACAGTCAAGTTGAAGGTTGAACTGATGGAGGGACGGCGTCTGGGAGGAGACAGGAGAGCAGAGAGCTTATAAATCATCAGTTTGTAACTCACGGCATGCTGCCAGACAGCTGCTTTACGGCCGTACAGTCGTAGAAGGTGAAATCCCTCGCTGTGACGGTGACGTCCCCGAAGCGAAGGGACAGGGGGACCGTGACGAAGTCTGGAGGAGAAAAAAAAAAAAAACACAGAGAGGAGAAAAGAAGAGGGCATGAGGACGGGAGAGCTGGAAAACAACAAGAGTGACATCATGTTTCACCTGAGCACGGAGCTGAGCGAGGAAAGCTCTGAAAATATTTGTGCAGGCTTTATCGCCCTCTGATTCAAGAAGTCTGGGATGAGTAAGATCTTTCCCCCAAAACACGGCCAGAGAACGTGGGATCGAGGCTTTGGTTCCCGTTAGCCAAAACACACAGGCTTAATAGAAGCCATGTGCTCCCATCCATCCTCGGCCCACAGAAGATCAGACATAAACACAGCCCGGCTCAAGGCTCTGAGAATTCACTCGACCAAGCACACGCTCAACTTCACCTGTTTTAAAAGCTGCTCTGTGAAGCTACATAATCTGAACCAGCTCCAGTTTTGTAGTTTTTACCATCATGTCTTAAAGTGACAGCAGCATTGTAAGACGTCTGTGCAGATTCTGAGTCATCCAGGTCGAGGTAATTCGAAGCTCGATCCAAAAGGGAAACTTTTGACTTTGAAATCTTGAGGATTGTTTCACCTCTCCTCCCAAAAAAAAAAAAAAGGTTTCTTCAAATCTAAACTGACTGCTGGATGGAGCGAGAAATATAAGCCTCTCGACCTAGTTTCACCTGGAGGTAACTCTGTGTCGTCTGAGAGCTGTTAGACATTAATAGCGTTGTACTTTCTTTAGGTATTTTCTGAAATCAGAGAGGAGCAGGAAACAATCGCGTAGGTGAAGTGCAGTGCAAAAAACAGCAGACTGAGGAGGAAGATATGTCTGCTCACTCGCTCAAATTCTTCAACTAGTTTTTTTATTCCATCTCAATCACAACGTTTCAACCAGAGTTCTACTTCAGGTGATCATTTGTTCAAATGGGTTGCCTTTTGTTTTCTCTTCTAGAAAACTGTGCTGGTTTGACCCCACACAGTCCTCTGTTGATGCTCCTCCACCTATGTGACTTCTGTATGTTCTCAGATCTCTGCGTTTAACAACTTGGCAAATGTTTTTCTTAAAATGCACACATTAAAAAATACAGTTCTAACACTGGGGAATGAAATGAACGTATTGCTACTGAAGGGTCCTGACACATCAGACTGGGGGCATTTGAGGTCTTTGTACCTACTTTTTGTGGTGTGTTCAGGATTTTTGGAAATTGTTTGCAATGGATGGATAATGTCTTTTACATCTCGTCTGACCTCAGGAGACCCCCAAGGCCCCCCCTCCTGTCTGACAGGGATAGCCTCCCACTGTGAGGAGCATATGTCAACAGCCAGGTCGGGAGAATCTCCTGAAATGATCTAGATATTTTCAGAAGTGGACATGTGAAGACGACTTCAAGTGATGTATTTCTGATTTGTTGCCTCTTTGTCAATTAACCAACCAACAAACATCCAAATGATCTAGTTTCTTATTTATTGATTTTCCACGAGCTTGGTGGCAGATGAGGACGACATAGCCTGAAAACATTGTGGCCCTGCAGATAACCCGGAGTCTGAACTTTGCAATGTATTTTTAAATCTCAAAGCAGTCAGATGAGAATCTGTTCTTTAACTTAAAAGCAGCAGCTGCCCTGACAGGCCTCCAGCTCCGTCTTTTATTAAGTGAGCACGGACACTAACCCTCTTTAAATAAAGGAAAGCCACAGCTCGATCCTTAAATACCTCCTGTGTGTCTATATCTTAGGAAAGCCCCTCCAGGCTGAATCTCTCTGAGCCCCGCTCCCTGAGAACTACAACAAGCCGCAAAGTTTCAGGAATGCGTTCATGGGAACCGGTGATTGTGTGTGTTGTGTACCTTTTTTTTTTTTTTTTTTTTTTTAGGAGTGTGACCTCTGCAGAGGATTCAATTTTTTTATTTGCAATCCCCTTTTGGTTTTTGCAGCGGACTTCCTTTAACACTCAAGCAGCTGTCACTCCAAACAACCCAAACCTAGAAAACCACATAAATGAAATGCAGTATATTTATGGGGAGTTATAAACTTTAAAAAACATTACTCCCTGCTGTGTAAGCTGGCTTAAAAGAAAGAATTTGGGTTGTCCTAGATTGATGAAACATGGATTGCACTGCGTATGTGTGTATGTTATGTGTGCACATGCAAACACATGCTTAAAACACACAGATATAAATCTCATTATGATCAAATCCTCCGGACACAAAGAGGGATGAAGAGTTCAGACCAGAGATGAAACTTCACCAGCTTTCTTCCTGAAAGGATAAATGGTCATGTCTTTGGCCTCAAACGCACTCACCCTGTCCTGGAGGCACCGTGGGTACACGGCGGGTGTCCGGAGAATGGCAGTGGACCCCAGTTGCTGTGACGATGGCGGGACTGTGGACGTCCTGGAAGTAGCAAGAGTAATACTCGTCTTTCTCCAAAACAGGAAGTCCTGGGACAGACAGAGACACCTGAGGAAAGATGAAGAGTATGGTGTTAGATCAGATATCTGTGTGTCTTTCTCCACTAAATCTGATCTTAGACTGAACTTTACTGTCACTATACCAAGGTGCAGTGAACATTTATAAGGCTTCTCTCCTGAGTAGTGCAGAGAAACGACACAAAAAAATAGTGCAGGAAAATAAATAAGGTTAAAAATACAATAACATCTTAAAAAGTTACAATTAAGAAAGGTGCTTTAAATCAGTGGTTCTCAACTGGTTGAGCGTCAGGATCCACCAACTTCCCCAAATTTGTTATATTTTTCAGTTAATCCGATTTATTTAAAGAACAATGGTGCAGTTTGGACCTCAGTCGGTACGAAGTGTGATAAAACAAAAAAACTTAACAAAACAAACTTATGAAAAAACGCTTCATAGACTTTTTAACAGCATTTTCCTTCCAAGCACATATTCGCAGAGCACTGACAACAGCTCGGCGACCCACTTTTGGGTCCCTACCCACCGGTTGAGAACCGCTGCTTTAGGTCAGCAGTGTGAAGTTAGCACGTCTGACAGAGAGAGGACAAACAAGACTGTCAAAGCATGATTAAAAACCTCTTAGCTCTTCATATTCAGCAGGCAGAGTTAGTAAGAGAGGAATCTACAACTGAGCTGTTTGGATGACAGTGAAGGACGAAGAGACAGCAGGCGATTAAACGCTCTGAACGCATAAATCTGACCTGCTCACCTGTAAATGTCAACGTGGAAAAATTGAGTTATAAAAGTGAGTTATATCTTTCTGCTGCCTGCAGGGACATGAACTCTACTCAGATCTGAGTCCTTATTTTTTTTCATGCTCAGTGTTTATTTTTTTTTGGCTCCACCTGTCCTCAGGTGATGTTCCTGCACTGCACTTGAACACATCGTCTGTCAGTCCTATAGTGTGACCTCTCCTGTAATGTCTCTCCTCTGACTGTCAGGTGACTAAAAGTTGATGTAGCAGCGTTAGATCGTGGTCAGTGAAGAGTTCCCTTCAAGGACTACATGCTGCTGCACTAAGAGTTCTTTTTAAGTTTCGACAAATAAATCTGCATCAACCTGTGAAGAATATCTGAGCGTGTAGTTCAGAGTCTGTGAAGACCCTCCCAGGTCTCTACAGTCGACCTTTGTAATGTTGTTTACAGTTATGATGACACACCGTACAGACGGTTAGGTGGATATCAGGAGTTTTTTGTTTGTTTGGCACCATCGTTTTGAACAGACTCACCGTCCTGCTCTCCTCCCGGCTGATGTTGGACGGGTTCAGGTCCTGGATGGTCAGGCACTGCTGCTCCATGTCAAAGCTCCACAACCACTGGCCGGGCTGCTTCCCACGAGAACACTCTGACTGCAACGCACACCTGCAGGGTAAACGACACAACGCGGCGTCATGTACTCGACTCGACATGTCTCAACAAGTGGGAACGTAATACGAGAAAAAGAGTTTTCTGTTTATCAAGTACAAGGTGTTTTTTTAAAGTGCACACCAACTTCTTCCTGGAAGCGGTTTTATTCCCTCTCTAGCTAGATGTAAACAAACTAGAAAGTAAAAACATGTTAGGGAGCCGAGAGGAAGGAAGTAAAGGGGCAGAGAGAGAAAAACATCCAGGTGGAGAGGCAGAGCTGAGAGGAGAGAGGAGGAGACACAGATGGGATGGAGAGAGGTAGATTTCTTTCATCAGACCTCCATCACTTTCCCAGCAGACCCCACTCAGTCCGTCTTCTTTTTTTTTTTTTTTTTTTTTTTTTAACATGACTTGGCAAAAACAGTCCAGAAGATTGCCAGCTGCTTCCACGCCCGCTGATACTTCATCCCGCGTCAGAGCTGAACTTGTTTTTCTGCTACATTTCTTTGAACTAGTCGCAAAACATTTCACACAGAAAGACTCATTTGTGATGCATTTCTGCATTTCAAAGAGCAACATAAAGAATAGCCTGCAGTCGTCAGCGCTTCTTCTGATGTCAAACTTTACAAAGGAGTGAGAAGATGTTATTAATGCTAAACTCAATCCTATTACTAAAAGAAAATAAATCATGTCTTCTCCTTCAAAGAAAGCACCATTACTCACTTCATGGCCTCAGGGTTTTGTTTTTCTTAAACGACAGCTTCACTTTCTGATTGGGAAGTAGCTTAGCAGAGAAGCTAATGCTAATTGCTGTTTGCAAACATTAGACATGTATTGCTGATGACAGACGGAGAAATGCTACATGTCACCATTTTAAGCTCCAGCTCTTCGCCTGTCGTTAGGTTGACTGCAAATTGTGTTGAGACAGCATTTCCAGCATGGCGACCGCCATCAACGGACGCCTTTAGTAGGTGATGTCACTTTATGTTACCACTGCTTGGATTTCCCAGAAAATGTGCGCAGGTTTCCCGTCAGGATCAAGGCTGTTAAAGACTTCTTGCACAATACTAATTCTCAAAATCAACATAATTCTTAATCTTAATTTTCACATAGTTTCGATGTTAAGCTTTTTTCTTTCTTTTAAAGATAAAGGCAAAGAAATTCTTCTTACACGGTTAAAATAATCCCTGTAATGATGTTAAGTAGAATATAATTAATAATACAGAGTGCTGATTATCAGGAAATATAGACTTGATGTATCTATTAGGGGTCTGTCCTGACCTCTTTCAAACACATCCTTACATGTTGATGATGTTCAAGGCTGTTACTGGAAAACTTCCACCTTACATAACAAACCTGTTGGAGTGGAATGTCGGCGTTCTTCCCTCGAGCTTTTACTGAACTCGGTAAATCAGCGTTTTCTTTTTGATGCCCTAAACTCGTGGAACGCCCTCCAGAAAACTCTAAGGATCGCAGTTCTTCCCTCTCTACCAGAGTTTAGGAATTTGAGTTCGAGTCCCTTTGTTTCAAATTGTAAATGTTTTTTCAGTGGATCAGTGTTTGTTGTGTTTTTTGCTTGTTTTACTGTGCTTGAAATCTCGACGGCATTGGAAAACGAGGGCAACCTCAGTGTCCTTTCGAGAATAAATAAAGGTTTGAAATTAAATGAGGTTTAAAAAATGACAATGGCGGGGGCAATCGTGCTTAAGGGGTACAGGGTAACTTTGCCTCGAGTGAGTGTGCTCTCAATCTTCCAAAGAAGTAAACTGTTTACATATCCATTCAGCACATGGTCTCACCTTTTCTTAGGCTTTTAAGAGTCATTAATTGGTTTATATAAAGTCAGCAGAATCTAGAAGACGTACTCAGATTATAACGGAGGAGCTATTTCTGTCTTTCTGTGTTAGTCAAAGGAGATTATTTTAAAAGCTTGACCTCTGTTCTAGTTAGGATGAATTTCAGCTGCACTTAAATCGGGGACACATGCAGGCCGGGCTGTCGTTTCTCTCACCTTCCCTCCAGGACGCACCAGCCACAGTAGGGGTCGTGTCCGAGCAGGCAGGAGTGGCAGTCTGGATGCTGCTGGCATTCAGCCACGGGCCTCTTCTGCAGCTGGAAGCAGGACAACACAATTATGTTCGGTCGTGCAAACCGCGCACACTAAGCTCAACAAAATCTGATTAAAGAGAATAGGTGGCCCACATACTCCGGGGGGGGGGGGGAACAATGGAAAATGAAAATATGTTCATTAGAATAATCCTAATGACCGGCTGCATTAGTGGAAGGGAGAATTGGGGCAGAAAAAAAACAAAGTGAGTCAAAATGATTTCTCTAGCTTTAGAAGTGCAGCGCAGGAAGGACGGCCCTGAAATGAGGCCGAGAGATGACGACAGTGGATGTCTCATCTCTCTGAGTGTGCAGGTACCATGTTATGAGTCATGATGAAGAGATGCTCCTCGTTCTGGTCCAGGATCAGGTCCGAACTGATGGCTGCGTTCTGCTGGATGGAGATGACAGAATACTCCTCTACCTCACCGTTTGGCCCCAGGAACACCTGCAAAGACAAAACGATCAGGTGATTATGTAATCGTGACACACTCTGTCCTTCTGTTGGGTCCTCATTAAAAAAGGAAAACATAAAAAACACACTCATTTTGACATTGTTCAGGGAAACCCAGGAGGAGGATTCTACAAAGGCTGTAATAACTGTTTATTGGAGAAAAACCAGTTAGGGGGACTTGAATAGGGATTGTTTTGGCATCGACTTTTTCAAATACCCATAATAAAGTTTGTCATTGGACCCTCAGAGGCGCTGCTCTCAACTTTCAACTTGATTGTCCCCCCCGAGGGGAAATTAGTTTGGCAGCCAGGTGAAAACAAAATGGAAAAAAAACATTTAGAAACACAGAAACGTCCCTGAACGACATTAAACACATAAATACAAGAGGTCATCAGGTAACAACGGGAAACTGAGAATGTATAAAAACGTCCATAAAACCAGAATCAAAAACCCATCATCGATCATCATCTGTTTGTCAACAGGCAAGGTGGGCAACTAACCGGACCCCCAGACTAGTAGGGGGTCACTGAGGGCTCACAAACCTAAACAAAAGCATTGACCCAAAATGTACAGACTTTGCAACGACAGTAGGAATCCTCCCTAAGGGGGCACCATCTCACCATCTCACAGGAGTCACTCTCGTTATTTGTGACCACAAGTTCAAGAAAGTATTCTACATTTAGACTAACTTGTTTTACAAGTCCCACTCCCCTGACCACATCTGATTTCATATTACAAACATTATATTATTGCACTTGTATATTAGGATGCAAGAATACTTCAATTATTTTTCATGCATCTTTTGGTTTGTTTGGATGCATTTTTATCCTGTGATTTAAGTTGTTTATAGGTTTTTACTCTTATTCCTGCACCGGTTCATTTTAATCTTATAGCTGTAGGTTTCTTTTTTTTTTTGTCACAACCTTTAATAACTAATTATTTATGCTGCAGGCTCAATAAAGTATCTGTCTGCATTGTTAACCTGCTTAACAGTCTGACAGAGTGAGGTGTTGTGCTACATGTGCTGCAGACAGTTTCTTAATAAACCTGCATGTTCTCTTTTTTTTTTTCTTCCTTCCCATTGGCCCACATTAGAAACCATAGTCTTAATCAGGGTATCTGTGAGAGGCCCGCTGATGTATCAGAACTACAACGCTAATAAAGGAAGTGAAGTGACAGCCTTTAGGAAACACCGCACCACAGGATAAGATAAGTTTAACAGCATGACGAGACACACACAGGTCATAAGAGCCAGAGAACAGCCAGACAAAATGACGAGGCCCTTTTTCTGACCTTGTGCGAGCTGTTTAAAGTCCAGAGCTGCTGTAATGTGGGTTAATACGAGAGGTCAGCCTGACCAACTGCTCCGCACTGGCCTCTTGATGTCCTAATGTCATTAGTAAGATATTCCACTGTGAGGGCAACTGTGCTGAAACAAAGACCAGCAATCATCCTAATGGGAAAATCCAGCACAAGGGGCAAGTCCACAACCTGCCCTGTGGTGTGCCAGGATGTGTCTCTGATGCCCGGCTAATCCCATCCTCCAGGTATGCAGAGGATTTAGGGTCAGCAATGCAGGCTGACACGCTTTGATCCCACATTTCCTCACAAAACACACAGAGTATATCCTCTTCTTCTTCTTCTTCTACCCCAGCTTCAATATAAGTCTGCTGACACTGCAGAAAGTTACTGGGATCTTCACAAAAGACAGGGAAACAGAGAAAATGAGAATGTCAAGGTTTTAAAGCAAGCACAGGACAAAACTTGATGTCGCATATAACAGAGAAAAGCAACAGAAAAACTGAGAGATGACATTTAAACTGGAGAGAAAACACAGCCGTGGCATGCTCGCTGCACAAAACCCGTCTTTCTTCCAGCATGACGCTCGACAAAACAAACATTTAGAGATAGAATCTTAACTGGTCAGCAGTGCGTCTTCATGCAACCGTTAATTAGACCGGTTAGGTCCCAGCAATTAGACATCCCCCTCCTACAGAAAAAACACAACACACTGGCTTCTGTGTCCTGAACACCAGCGTCTCTTTATTTAGTCCTCTTGTTATTCTGAGTAGCTGCAATAAGCTCATCAGTGCTGCTAAGTCACCAAGTTTATCTGCCAGGGAGCTGAGGTTAACAACGCAGGGAGGGAGTCAACATGCTGCACTCAAAGCAGAAGCTGGAGGCCTTTTTTTTTTTTTGTACAATCAAAAGAGGATATTTAAGGTTATTTGATACGGCTTTACTTGTGACCCGTAGAAATGTTTAAAAAGCCTTCACATTCATCCTTAAGGTAAGAGACTTGGGACTGAAAGTTGCTCAATTGTTGGTGAATCAGCTTCCTGTTGAAACTGGTCGAGGGACAAACGAGGAAGTATTGGCAGTCATGTTGTGTTATCGTTTATTGATTAACTGTGTCTCGTGTGATTTGATTACGCGGTTTAATCGCTTCAGGAAATTGTATTTTCCCACTAAAGTGAACGAGCAATTAAAAAGTTATAAAACAGCTGTCTGAATGGGTTATGGAAGTCATCGTGTAAAAAGAGCTTTTTACACGATGACAGACCTGCCTCAACACATCTGTGATTACTTTTCGGACTGTTAACCCTTCAGCCAGGAATGTGCTAGAAGAAAGCCTCTTCTCACTTGAACGTGACGATGCACCGAGCCAGCTCTTATTATCCGACATCAGTGTTGGACCACTTTGAAGCTCTACTGGCTGTGGACAGCGTCAACATCTGCTTAATGGTCTCGTTGGCGTCTGTAACAGCTTGGATTGTCGAAAGAAACTCCAGAATTATGATCTGGAAATTGGTCTGGTAGCTGGAGAGGTGCCAGTTCATGTCCTGAGCATTACCAATGTTGCCCTTTAGCAAGGCAGGGATGGCACTTTTTGAAAACTAGCCATGTTTTTGAAAGTAGCATTCCCTCAGTGCTGCGTCTGCACCAAGCCCCTCCCCTCTGTGCTCCCTCATAAGCCACGCCCCCCTCACTTACACGCACGAGCACCGTCTCTCCAGAAGTGGACCTCAGAGCAGTCTCGTGTCTCATTCAGCGGTAAGTAAACACTAAACTTTATCATAATACATATAAAAAAAACTATTTTACTACTCACAACTCACAGGGCTAGAGAGCGAGCAGGGAGACAGGGAGGCTGTGATTGGTTCATCAGATTGGTACCTCGCTGCAGACGTTGGTCGAAGGTTTTACATGCCATTTCATAGACATGTCATATTTTGAATTAGGAGCTGCTGCAAGGGAAAGACTAGGAGAGAGCATGGTCTGTACTGCACAGAAACGTTGGCAATATTTGTTATTTTTGTTGCTGTGGTATCGATATCCTTTGATAACAACAACTCTTAGTGTCATGACAACCCTCTTAACAGCAGCACATAAATGTTTACAGTCAAGTTTTAGCGGTTAAGAAAAGATTGCTTTCATGATGTAAACCAACGTTTGGATGACAAATAACAAGTTGGGTTACTCAACATTTAGGAAACGCTGGACGGAAAGGCAGGCGGAGAGCGGCCTGATTTCCTGTGAGAACGAGACCTCACACATGAACTATGATCTGAAGCTGCTTCAATCAGCTGGAAAATAAATCAAACCGTGTGAGTGATGCAGAAGGAGCGATCGGACAAACAACAACAAGAATCCTGGAGCCCAGAGACGACGCACACAGTCAGCTCAGAGGACATGAAGTATGTAGTAAGGTTCTGGGTCATGTGTCATATGGAGACGATGTCATCATGCATCATGACTAGAGACAGCAGCAGCTCAACCACGTTACCATAGTTACAGATAATAAATGGGAAATAACTGACCTTAATAAAAAACGCTGTTCACTCATGAGTGACTGTTCTGCATCACATATAGAAACGTTCAGATTGTCTCCACATGAATTTATTATTGATTTTATTTTATTATATACTTATTATTTGTCATGATTGACTTTTGCATTGTGTAACCGACAATTACACAACCCGATTACTTACCCGTCTTCTTCATTATTTCTTATTTTGGGGCTTTGAGCTTCTTCTTGATAGGACTGTGGAGAGAGTTGGAAATCAGGGCGAGAGTGGGGAACGACATGAAGCCACAAAGAAGCCGCATGTCCGACTTGAACCCGGGCCGCCCACATGGAGGACTACAGCTCTGGATGGAAAAACTCTGATGTTTGCGCTCGAACATGCACCCCACCATGATGCAGTCTGGGAATTTTTTTATGTGTGCAGTGCATAAGGCTTTAGGATCCCGTTTTACTCAAAAAAAGTTAAAAAACTAAATAATAATCAGTCATCTCCGGTCTTAATGAGTCCGTGTCTAAGGTGTTCTACCTTTAAATACTCATGATAACCTAACATTAGCATCCAGGTTATCCTCTCTCAAGATGAAAACAATTTCAAGGCTGTTGTTTGTCCTACTTTTTGTAATTTTACGTACAACAACAACAATCTTATTACAGTTCAACGATGACAGCCACTAGAGGGCATAGGATGACTATGAGTGATAAGTAAAGGACACATTTTTATATGGCAGACGGGAAAGAAAGCAAGAGCCTGACTTTGTGTCTAATATTTGTTTTGTTATTGCAGAAATTGTGTTTTGTGTTTTGGGGTTATCTCGTCTTCTCTTCTTTCTGTTCACACAGAGCACACTGAGGACGCTACTGAAGTTACAAACCGAGCGACCCATTGCTGGTGGTCAGGAGGGCAGAGAGTTGACAATGTGTCCATTAAGGACGCTGAGATTGACACCGACACTGTCTGCTGTCGATGACTGATATCTCTTCATGGCTGTGAATGAGTCTCTCTGTTGGGAAGCGCACGTGTCTGCCAGTCAGCGGCGATGAGCGCGGAGCTTCAGCATTTTCTGGTCTCTGATTGATTGTGCAGCTCAGGCTTTAGCTGGCTCTGTGTGTGTGACGTAACTGTGCAAAAATACGTTAATGGCCGTCATTGTGCTACTAGTAGTGCCTGCTCAGGGGGGCCTCAACCACAAGCCACCATTGAGAAAAAAAAAAGGCACAAAGAGGCAGTGTGTGGAGAAAACTCACGATCTGTAAACTGCTGATATCAAGGGGTCTGCCTACAACACCCAACGTACATGTAGAATAAATCTAATCTTCTAATCTTCTCAACCGAATGTTCAGTTTAATTACATATGCTCACTTCCCCCTTTCAGTTTCTCTTTTGTTGTTGTTGTTGTTGTTGTTTAAATCCACAACTGGACAACTCCTGTGTGTGACCGAGCCTCACTCTGCACTCTGTCTGAACCCACAGACACGCCGCCATATGTGACCCCACAGTGTCGTGACGGCAGCACCTTGCAAATCTAATTGACAGCCTGTAGAGGGTTAACGACACTTCAGAGGAGCTTCACATGATCCGGCCAAAGAGCCGAACACTCGCACACTGTTTCGACATGACTGAAAGGTTGAGCGGCCCCCGAGCAGGCCAACAAGAACATCCTGATAAATGAGTTGGACGAAGGATTGCCAACATGTTACAGTAAAACTCAATCAAAGTCCACAAAATCATGACAGACTGATGCAGAAAAGCTCTGGAAGCTGAGACAGAATCAGACGTACCTCAGTGTTCATAAAAACACCCTGAAGACAAATATACAAACTTCATTGTTTTGACCTCATTACTGAGTAAACTTCATTTACATGCAGCGTAATCCAAAATCACATTTTTAAGAAGCAGTTTTCAGAATATATTTAAGGAACAAGTCAAGTTTTTGTTATTTTGCACGACACGAGTAATTACTGTAATTAACCGTTATAAAAAAGTGATTAAACCCAAAAGAAGGTTAACTCCCTATAACTTCATAGGTGTAAGGATTTTGCTAACTTCTATTAACACATTTACATGATTTATTTTAAAATCCTTTTCTTGTTTTTAGCTATTTTTGCCTTTTTAAAAACAGGACAGCCAAAGAGAGAGAGGAGATGTTGGGCGGACAGATTGGGGGAAGACCTGCAGCTGCGACAAGAACCACAGCTTCCGCAAAATGAGCGCTCGACACGTTTTTTGAGTTTACTATGAAATGTTCATATTGCCATAACCGTGAAATTGCAATTAGTCGTGCAGCCCCAATTGAAAAGCAACCCTGGAATCTGTTGGCTCCTCACTTTCAATCGATCTTTATAACAAGACTGCAGTTTTTAAAAGCAACATGACCAAAGGATAGAAGACGCCCAGAAGTCTTGGCCCCTAATTTTGAGTTATTCAGTAATCCACTGTTGATTGTCTCCCCACAGAGACAGAATCACAGACCGTCACCTGGATCCAATGTTAAGATATGAGTTATACGTCAATGGATGGTTTCTCATCTTTAAAAAAATGAAACCTTCACCATGAAGACCGGATGATTCCAGATGTTTGTTCCGTATGATAAAACCCCTTTAGACACATTTTATTCACCAATGTTTCAATGGTCTTAGAACACCAGATACGCTGTCCAAAAACAAACACACACGCCTCAGTGTATGTTTGCATCATTTACTGGATGAGTGGATTTGTAGCACAATCTCAGAGCATTCCTTCAACAAGATGTAGCAGGACGCTGCTCCTGAGATTATTTCAGCCCGCCTGCCTCAACACACTCAGACTATTTCAGACCTGGTCGGCAGATGTCAGTTTTCTGGAGGTGAACAGAGAGAATAGCTGAACATGATGTATGCGGGGTCGACTGCCGGGTCTGAACAGGGACAGGTATTTCAGTAATGCAAGAAAAACATGTAAAAACATGTAAACAAATACAAAAAATAAGGTCTGAACTCAAAATAATGACACTTGTTGCAAAGTATGCCAAGCTTTGACTTCATTTTCCCAGCAATAACAACACAATCTCTCATGTACAAAGCACACTTTGTGAGTGATAGTGGTTTCTGTGTGTGTGTGTGTGTGTGTGTGTGTGTGTGAGCAGAACCAGCATGAAAGCTGGCAGTCTGTCGGTGCATGCCTTCATATCTGGGAGACGATCTTACCTTGTGCAGGTTCCCCTTAGAGTCCCCCAGGAAGGCGATGGTATGTCCCGCCCTCACGCTGACGGCCACAGCAGTGAGACGAGCAGACGGGCTGTCCAGGATGGTTTCAGCCTCTACGGCGATCCTGCTGGCCATCGGGCTGGGGGTGTGATCGGAGCCGCAGGGGTACGCTTCCAGAGTGTTCTGGTTGTGGAGAGGACACACAAGAGGACAGTTAGCGTTTGGTGAATGTATAATAATAAAAGTATAATTCAATAAACCAAAATTTGAAAAGTAACCTGATCAAGTCTCAAAACACATAATTAGAATAAAGTCTTACAAATGTGTTGATAAAACACATGTTTTAAGGTTGAACCCCTTTTTAAAAGTTAACTCAAATTGCTGCACAAACACCTGGTCCACCTGCAGCCTCCACATGGGGCATGCACCAACCACTAGGCTACTGTCGCCCCTGGTTACGGATGTTTTAACGCCCAGCTGTTGTCCATTTTTCCTTCAGATGTGAATTGGCAATTTAAAGTCCACCATCATGGACATAAATTAAAGAATTGCCCCATACTGAGATCATTTCCTCTCTCAGTCATTATCAGTCTGACAATATCGGCCTATGAGAGATAAAATGGCACCAGGTTTTAAGTTTATTTTTTCTGATATGCATCCAAAGGAGAGCTTATAGGAAAAATGTTATGCCCAGATAATGAAGAGAAAAGGCTGGGGATAATTCAATACTTTCTTGACTTTTAACAATACTTTCAGTTCCTCTCAAACTGGTTATTTTAAATCCGCATTAGCCTGACAAAGCAGCCCTCAGAGTACCATGAGGTAATGCCGTCATAGTACAAACCACATAGAGGAGATCTGCACGCACATGTTTTTTTTGCTGCAGTATCAGTAGATTTTTTGTACATCAAAATCGTGACCATATCAGCCCCAAACATCTGTGGGGCGCCAGTGATACTTAAAGTACCCCCATGAATAAATCACAACACCACCACACATCACACTGCATGTGGATTTCAAAGTGTATCCCTTGTTTTTGTACAAAAAAAGATAGAACCCCCCTCAGAGTGATTTGTTATTCATCTCTGAGCAACTAAGCTGGTTACCAAAAATAAAGCAGCAGTGCTCCTTTTGTGGTGGGTAAAAATCCCAGCAGGATTTAGTGTGGAGGGATTGGGGCTTTGGGAACAAACCATCACAGGATCCCAGTGACTTCTACCCTCAGTGCTTTTAAAGCTTAAAAGACAATTTGTTTTTGCCTCCACAGTTTGGCAGTGGGGAGTCTTTGCTCTGGCTGCGTTGTTGTCATTTTTGGTCGAGGGGGGAACATTTACAACAAGAACTTTTGGGGTCGACTGCTTTATCGTCGGTTATCCCAACAATAGGAAGTAGAGGCAATAAACCTGAGAGCTGTTGAAGCTCTGGTTTGCTCCGATGGATTGCTGGAGTTGGACGGCATGTTGTTTTGAAGAGACTCCTTATTTGGCCTGCTCTTAAGAAATAGAGACAGCTGAACCACCTTCACACGATCAACTCAAAGTGGCCAGCTTCAAACTTTGTTGTACAACATAACTAAAGTGCTGCTAGGCTGCAGAGCATTGATCCAGTTAACCAGAGAGAGGGAAAGAAAGTTTAGACGCCCCTGTTTTGTCTGAACCACTAGAACTCAACCATGAGAGGAAAACAACCAGGGGATGACTGTACGCTAAGAATAGCTCTGAACCACATTATGACTACTGTAAAAGTTATGAAGTTATGACGTCCAGTCTTGGACCGTGGCCCGGGAGCTTAAAGGCTGACTGCCCTGGCTTATGGCAGGCTGTGATTACACTGTAATACCTCATACTACCACTCAGGCTCCAATCATCAGGACGTTTAGCCTTCAACTCTCCGGGGAAGTAATAACCACGAGGGAGTAAGATAACAAGAAAAGATTGACTACAGTCGCGTTTGGGCTTCTAATATTTGGTACAGTAGGAGGCCTGATCACCAATAACAAAAGCATGTTCCCCAAAGCTTTGCGTGAGAGTAAGTCCCCGGTGCAGATGGAATCTCCTGGCAAAGTCTGGACCATGGATCAGGCTGCTTTGGTGTTGTTTGTGCAAAGGGATCCAATTGAGATTTGACATCTTAATGACACTGTAAATCTCTTTTGGGCTCCAAATCCCTCATCACTGTTCCCCTCTTAAGCCATATGGTTTGATTGGATTCTCCTCTAACCTTCACTTTAAAAACATGTATCGATATTAAATCTTCTAAGGGGTCATGACAGGGGGGTAGAGTGTCATCCCGTTCAAAAATGAATAACACAAGCATCTTGTAAAATATAATCCAAGGCTGTAGAGTATTCTATTATATAAAGGAATATGTGTTGGATATTGCAGTTTTATTATGACTCTGAGTATCAGAAATTCCACCAGTAGCTCAGAAATTCAGCAAAACTTCCAGGTGGTAACACAGCCAATCAATTGGCTGGTCTTCTCCACTTTTCAGCGCAGGGTAAATATCTATTAAAAAATATTTTAGCAGCCAGTAGAAAAATGGTTACAGTCCAAACCTCAAACAGGGACCGACTACAAAGATATTGTGACTGAGAAGGAAAGTATGGAGACGACTTGCAACTGCAAAACTGGGAAAAATGGATTGTGTTTCAAACTGGAGAGGTGAACCATGCAAGTCATTTCCACATGTATTGTTATTTAATTATAGAATGTGTGGATGACTTTTATATATAAAGAAAATCTACCTTAAACCATAGACTGCTGATGACGTGAATCTACCCTTTGTGACGTCACCCATCGGTTTATGAATTGGACTTTTGAAGCCCATCGATGGCGCCTGCCATTTTGGAAACGCCGTCTCAAACTAACTTTGTGTGTTTAAAGTTGAGATGATTTAGAGAAGACAATTAAGATAAAAACAAAGCAGGTTGGTAATCAAAATGTGCATATATGGAGCTCCAGCATGTTCAGAGGCTACAGTTCTTGTCCCACTGGTTTCAATCAGCAACCATTCTGTGTTTTCCACCCTCATCTAGTTTTCTTCAGCTGTTCTATCTAAATGGTGAAAGGCGGGTAAAAAAAAACCTTTAAAGTGTATTAATGTTGTTTTTTTTTCCATTCTCAGCATTGGCCAAAACTCAAGTCCAACCATTGGTAAAGGTCATTGGTCAGAAAAAAAGTGGAAAAGAAACCCAGGAAACCAGTTGTGACCAAAATAAGTTATAACTCATAATACATAATAAGGTTGGTTGCACCGCATTAGCTATTTTAAAGACACAGTGCACCTACTGTTTTACAATATGGAGTGAGATGTCATATTCAGAGAACACCTGGATGTGAGAACACATCAAAGAGGCAGCGCTCCGTGTCCAGGGATGTATTCATATCTGTCCCGTCCACTTTTTCCCCCCCATTTAATTCTCTTCTTTCCCTGATTGGCTGTGATTTTCCGCTCCACTGTGCATCTGTATGCCTTCAGTGTCTTATCCTCTTTCTCCTTCAGAGTCTCGTCTCTGCGGGGGTGTGTCTTTAGCCGCCCTTGTCAGGCCTTGTTAAACATTACCCTCAACCCCACCCCACTAAGTACGTCTAATGCCACCGATCGATTCCCTCCCTAACCAGCAATTCTATTAAATCACACCGCACCGCCCTGCTCCCCATCCCGCCGATCTGTTGCTTGTGGCTACAAAAAGGTTGAGGAGGGTCAGTGCTTCTGTGTCCTCGACGCAGGAGGATGTGATAATAGAGACGGATGTCAAACAAGCCCATGATGTCCATTAAAATGTAATGTTTACATGCACACCGAGTGGAGTCAGGATTTCCAGAGTTGGTGTAATGACGGAGCTAATTTGATTCAATCCCTCCTCCTCCGCAGCAATACATGTGCCCTCTTATAAAAAATGTCTAATTTAATTTGATGCTCCCTGTTACAAAGGTTGCTTTTGCAGGAAGAGGGCTGGACAGTTTCAGCTGTATGGTACCAGCTCCAGCAGAGGAAAGCTTTTTAATCAGTGTAGTCGTGAAACTGTGAAAAAAAGAATCATCTCATCTGTAAAGAAAAAATCCAGACATCATGTTCTTTTGTAAACAGAGCAATGAAAACAAGAAGATTGAGCCATTCAGTGACTGGTTCACTGTGATTCCTCTGAGCCTTTTGTTTATGTGGATTCTTTCACATAAAGGGGGAGGAAGAAAAAAAAAAAAAAAGCAGATATGTGGTCACACGGCTCATTCTTTTTCCTGTGGCCAGTCATTTTTAGCTCGTGTGCTTCCTTTCAGTAACACCCGGTCACACAAACATACAATTACACACGGCGACACATGGGAGTGGACTGCTATCTGTTTCAGTATGTTGACCACTGCACGCTTTCACTGGAGAAAGTGAAGAGGCCGTGTGTCCTCTCCTGAGCTGCAGAACCTTTTCGATACAGACGAGATGGTTCCACTACTTTTGTTTGAAATTGTAAAATGTTGTTTTCATGTCTGAGCCTGTGCAGCTATTCTACTCTCTGCGCACAGATACTTCTAAATCTATATTTTTTTATCTTAATGAGACTTCCTGGTTGAATGAGAAATGACAAATATTGAAATGTTGATTGATTTCATTTCATCAGAGTAACTGTTGAATAGGGTAATTATCTGCAAGAGCTGTTTCTGAACAACTCTGCATGTCTTTAGTCCATGAAATACAGACTAAACATGAGTAAAAGACTAAACATGAAATGTCAAATTATCATTACTTTATAATGATTAATATTAATATTCTAGTGTAACAATAAATATAATCTTTAAGAGTTCAAAGTCACAGTTTATAAGACCAACAGTCTGCAGCGGGTAATGATCCAGTTTGACAACCTAAGGAATAATCTGGAGTTTTCTCTGTGTGAAGTATAAATAGGCTAATTGGTTCTTTCAAACTGAAAAGAAAATCTCATACACCTCCATGAAATGAAGGATCTCTTTTGACGGAGTTCATGGTTGGATCTTATAGGATTGATGAAAGAAAAATGGAGATAAATTCAAAGCAGTTTGGTGTACAGTTTCCCCTGTTCAACTTCTTTAAAAACTTCTTGGTAAAACTACAGAGCTTGTAACGTCAATCAGAGCGAATGAATGGATGCAAACTTAAAACACAGTCAGAGCTGCATTGTAATTGGTCAGAACCAATTAAATATTACTACATAATTGTTTGTAGATTATGTTTAAGTGGCTTCCAGATAGAATTAAATTGTACACCGCACTCACAGCAAAAACCATCAACACAAATTGCTAGATGACCAAAAAAGATAAAAAATTTTACTTTTTGGATTCACAATGTGAGCATCCAAAAAGTCCGCTATTCAGTAGAAAGCTTCGCCTTTCTGAGGAGGAGGAGACGAGCAGAAAAGAAGAAGAAGGCGTGGGTCATGAAATCCTCAGAGCATGACAGGATTTGTGGGAGTTTAGACTCGTTCAGGAGCTGAAGCTCTATAACGAGTCTTTAATGAATGACACTCGATTTCTTTTATGAAAATACAAACTGTTTTTTTAAAGTCACATGATAACATTCACATTTACCTCTGGCAGGTTGGCACAGTTGGATTTGACTTCGTACTCGATGTACGCCGCCTCCACTCCTGACTCTTTGCCCATCTGTGTGTAGCACAGGTCCCTGGTGGAGTTAATCCTGCGGTCCACATCCTCCAGGTTGAACATGCAGAGGGCCGAGTCCTCGCTGGGACGAGTCGATGAAGTCAAACGAGTGGAGAAGACGCCGAGAAGAGTCCCGTCGCCCGCCTCGGTGAGCCCGAGCTGGACCGCTTGCAGGAGGTTGTATATTTTTCCCGCCTGGATCGACACGTCAGAGGAACTTCCACGTAGGAGTAGTACGCCTGGTCCTCCAAGCAAACGCAAGATACGTAGGTGCGGTACTCCCGCGACTGCGACTTTAAATCCCGCCTGTAGAAGAGGAAGTACACGTGCTGGCGGTGGGTGAAAGACGCTACAAAGTGATGGTCGTATTCTGAGAGACGACCGGCCACGGCTAACTTGGCGGTTTCCTCGTAGGAAAAGATGGGCTCCTGGGCGAGGTTACGCGTGGAAATAGGAGGGTGGCTGCTGGTGTAGCCCCGTCCCACAAACAGAAGAGGCTGCTTGTCAGGATGAGAGCGCACCACGAGCCCCACGGTGCTAACGTTAGGGTGATTGGCTGCTACATATTGAGTATCCACCGGCCTCTCTGTGGAGAAAAGTACAACATCCACAGAGTCCAGACTTCGTTTCTGGCAGATTCCTTGGTTGACACTCCCGCACGTGATGAGCTCCATGGAGTAAGGGTCCACCAGCAGGAGCTTGTTGTGGTTGCTGGTTGCCCTGGCCTGAGGGCAGTTCACCTCAGTCACGGGGGGTAAGCACTCCCTGCTGTCTGTGACGGGTCCAGTGGCAGCGTGGCCATCATACTGGAGGAATCGATCCAACTGGAACAGGTGATCCCGGGCCCCGACGTAGACCCGACTCACAGCGGGGTCCGGGTGCAGGGCCAAGTGCTCAAACAGAGTGTCATTGCGCATAAAGGTGGGGTAATCACTGGAGGGGAAGGACTCTGATGCTCCGACGAGACCGCTCTGTAGTGAGGTGAAGGGCCGGCTGCGGCGAGCAGCAGGAGTGATAGCAGCGTTTGGACTGCTAACACTGAAACACAACGCACCATCCCCGGAGGCATGGCAGCAGATCTGAGGAGACGGAGAAAGAATGTCTTCATCCACAAATGGTACACAGACCACATAGGTTAACTCATTTTTTCCATTCTATCTTTTCCACACAATGTGCCGTGTAAATGTTTTCAGAAATATTTTAAATAAGAAGATTGAATTTTTCATTTGGAAATGGGCTTCTTCTTACCATTTGTTCCCAGTGCTGTTTCACAGAGGTATGTCACCTCATCACCTCCCAGTAGATTGGGTCTAAACATGCATCCTTCAGGACACCTGCAACACAACGCAAAGAGAAGATACATCAGCATGCTGTATATTTAAAACAACCAGAGGGGTTTAAATGTGGTTACCTTTGAGTCTTTATTATGCAATGACAGAGAAAAGCTTTGAAAGCAGCAAGACTGGATTTGAGAGCTTAACTATTAGACAATTTTAAAGGAGACTTGTCACTGCAAAAGAAAAACTTTGCATGATTTGAGTTGAATCTGGTGGGCGGGACATCTCTATTGGCTGGTCTCGATGGCAGTGACACCTTGACAACTTTCATGGCAACAAAGGCAACCTTTTGGATACTAAAGCAAGTCTTTGATTTAAAAACATGCAGGTTATTCATCTGAATTTCTAATTTAAAAAAAATAATTGTACTTGTTGCAGAATTCACTCGTGTGAAAAGATCTGCTTCACAAATGCTGAAACGAAGAACCTCGTCCCAAAAGAGATCACTATAAGACAAACATTGATGGTTCAGAAACCTCGTGGGAAGCTCTTGCGCATTAAAATTCCTGTCAGACTTATGTCTCACAGGCTACATCCGTTTTCTTGCTTGTAGAAAAGCCCTCAGCAGAGGCCAAGTCGAGTAGTGTCAGTCCAAGAGCTCTTTCATCGCCACACACACACAATGTCCAAGAATACAATCCCCCCCTCATTGCTAGGATACAAGGTACAAAACCCTTTCGGCTTCAGAGAGGGTGCCAGTAAAACAAGTTTGTGTGAGGTAAAGGAGGTGGCATGAGAACCTTTTGGAGGGGTCGAGTTTCCTTGTTTGGGGCACCTGAATCTGAACCACGCTCAATTTAGAAAACCGAAATGTCTCCTCTAGTTATGATTTCTTAACTACACTCATATCCTCCCTTTTCCCTCCTCATTATCGCCCTCTTCTTTCCATGCACCGCTCCTCCCCACACTCCATCTCTGGCACAGAAGCGGGATTATCTCCTACGAGTTCAGGCGGATCTCCAGTGGGCTTAACCAGAGTGGAGGAGAGGGAAAAAAGACGGAGACAGACTGAAAAAGACACTATTCAGTCCAGTGAACAGACTCCCATCCTCGGCGAGTGTATACACACACACACTCACACACACACACCCTGACACTAGGAGCATTAGAAAGCTTGCTTTGTTGGTGGCAGTCTTCTGTGGGAACGAGGGTAAAGTCCTGGCAACAGGCCAAAAGAATAACACAAAAACAATCACCTAGAGCACAATTACGATGATCATTGTTATCCAAAACATTTCAAACCAAATGTGAATGAAATCTAAAACTCCTCATCAGGCACTTCCTCGAGCATGTTTGTTTTTCCGCGCTGATATCGAACCACCTCCTGTTCCAGCACAAGCAGAGTCACAGAGGTTAAGTAGGCTGATTGATGCCTCTGTGACGGAGCCTGAAATCATCTGATCTAAACCAAACAGGGAGTCTTTAACCCCCTCGGGTTGGGGAAGGTCCAAGTTTTCAGCGCTTGGTTTTTTAAAGCTGCGACTCCGTGGCCCTGAAAAGATCCTGCCATGACTCTGGTGGAAACAGCCAATGCAGATAATCCTGAGAAAGCAGCGGCCCAGCGCTGCACGGAGCACAGAGACAGGAATGACAGGCATGTTAACTCATGGAAGCACTGGTTCAACAAATACAGTGCCGCTCCTGTTTCCTCCTCCAGCTAACAGTTTCCGAAAAGCTGGATTTAAACGATGCCGTTGTGGGAAAGAGTGTTGGAGCTGAGATGGTGTTTGACTTTCATAATAACTCTCAGAATGTATGGGCTGTCACTTTAATTATCCAAGATGTCAGATTTGTGATCTTTGATTAAATTATAGTAAAAAAAAACACGTTTCTATACCACGGCAACAAAAATATGAATCCTAGGCACCCCAATGGAAGATCATTTCTTGTTTTTAAGTAAGACGAAAACAACAGAGTTTGCTATAAAATGCTATAATGATAATATTTGCCTTCATAACAATGCTATGTATGGTACGGCAGAATCACAATGTCAACAAAAAGAGCGGAGAACAACACACTGATGAACAGGAAACGTAATGCAACCTTCTAATTATGTGCAGGGAGATCGGATGCACTGACTCCAGTCACAGTATATAAACGTCACTCCCCCCTTCCCTTTCATTGGCTCGTGCTGAATTCTCCGGATAATATCCTGCTGAATTCTCACATCAGCTCACTCTGACCTGCTGTGGAGAAAATACTCAGGGTCTGGCAGGAGAAACTCGGCTGTTTGTGTTCACGCATACAGATCCTCTGGTTATATCAGGAGTTTTCTGGAGATGTGAAAGCCCACCCCAAAAATATGGTCAAAGATCTGAGTTTTGTTCTTAGCTTCTGTACTTTTTGAAACTTTGGATCTATAAAATAACAGATACTTATTTATTTATTTAAACGAGTGGTATCAAACAGTATTCAACATTGTAACAACGTTAATCTTAAAGAAAAATAAAAAGTCATCTATTTAAATTCCCTTTGTGCTGAAAGCTGTAAATCAAATAGCCAAAAATGACGGTAGGCTCGACTGCCATCAACCTTTTTTTTTTTCCTTTCCTGCAGTATATAATCCAATCACACTCATCTCCATTCACCGTGTGAGATACATGAGAACAACAGAATGGACTTCTGATTGGATTCAAATCGCATCTCACCACCGGGTTGGAAGTCCATATTTTTCTGTGACTCCAGCCGGTCAAAAGGTACCAGTCTGTCGAGACGAGAGGAGGAAATGTGTGCCTGTAATGGCTTTATCTAAATGTTCCGGTACTTTTAGGTAATGGACTCCACTCTGTTCAAGCACTCTCTGTAGAAACAGTATCAGGAGTCAACAAAAATGTTGTTTATGGAGAGGAAAGCAGGCGTAATGCTGTGTCCTGTAGTCGGCTTGGATTCTCTCTGTTCCCTCAACTAAGGAGCTTCACACACACTCAGTGAGCTCAATACAACTTTCTTCTTCTGCTGTGACATTCATACAGTATATACATGTTAATTTAATTATTTAAATTGGCACCCACAGTATATATGTATAGCACAAAAGATAAAAACTTCTTTAACAGTCAATGCTTCCTTAGGTATGGAGAGACAGATAATTTCAAAATCTGCAAAAAAGGCGACGTAAAAACTATAAAAGGCAACAATAGTTTGAATTTAGAAACAGGAAAAAAGGCATTATAAAAAGTAAAAGATTGATTGAAAAATGGGAAAATATGTAAAAGTGTAAATGATAAACGATGGGATGAATTGAGCTTCCAAACTGTGAGTATATTGAATTTAGGCAGGCCATCGAGTCTTATTCCTCTAACTTTAGATAAAACCATTCCACTTCACGCGTGGTGCATTCATGTGATGTCGGACACAAAAACTCTAGTCTTTCAAAGATCATTACGAAGACATGATCATTCACACGCTTGCTTTTATATTTATTTATATTTAAACTGTTCATGTTGTTGTTTGTGTTAGAACTTTTTGGAAGATTATTTCTCATCAAAACTCTTTCTGTACTTTAGTCCGTGTTTATGTTTAATAATGTTTGTGTTGCTCCAGTGTTCGTCCTGATCTGCACTCTGGTCCACGCTTGTTGTTTTCATATTGATACAGCTCTGTAAAATAAACGGACTGGACTTCCTGGATTGTGTGTCGGGCCAACAGAAGCAACAAACCTCGTCCTCCCTAATGTGTTCATTTTAACACATCGCTGATTTTGGCCGGCTCGTCTGAAAACATTAACGCTCATATTTCATCATCAGGCTGCTGGATGACGAGAGTGGTCGACCAACGTTTGCTTATTTAAGATACACCTGCATCCATGTCAGCTGATCAGAATCATTAAGTGACAGTATAGAAAAGTAACAAATAGAACTGAAATCACTAAAACACTGTGATGCACTTAAGCCTCAATCAGACATCAGCACAAGACAGAATGTGAAATGTATTTTTCTCTGAACATAAAACTGAAAAAGATCACTTTTCCTGCACATTCACAGTCGACAAACTTCAAGTCAGGAAGTCTCCGCAACATCCTGCAAGCTTGGGCAACACACTGAACCCTTAAGACTGGAGAAAACATAAATTGGCCTGAAGATTTTTTTCTGTCTTGCATCATATGCAACCCACTGACACAATTAAAAACATCTCAAATATCAGTAATTAAAATCTGCTCAAATAAAGTTTCTGTTTTTCAAACTTTCTGAAATCAGTTTTGCAATGGGTCTTTAAAATCCATCATGTTTGGGGGACTGGTTGGCCTAGTGGTTAGTTCTCATGCTCAGGTACAGAGGCTGGTGTCCTCGAAGCGGAGCGACATGGGTTTAAGTCCAACCATCAGCTCCTTTCCTGAAAGTCAGTCCCCAAATTCTCCCTGTTTTCCGAATATATCCAACTCACTGTCCTATCGACAAAATCCATAAAAGTCAGAAAATAAATCTTGCGTGTGTGAAGCAATTCTGATTGTTTTAGTAAATCTTAAGTTCGTTTTTAAAGGGACAGTGTCAGAGTGACATGCAGAGGCCGGGGAACATGTGTCCCTTTTTTTCCCAGTACGACCAGTTTTATTTGTTTTGTTTTACACCGATGTTCCTCTCCTTGCTCAATCCTCGACAAAGTTCAGCTGTCAGTGAAATATTCTCTCATTAATTCATATCTCTCATTGTTTAACATTGAAGAGCGCAGGGCGATAGCATCAGAGTGATGGATCATGGGAGGATGGTCTCAACAGAGCTCTGGGAACAGGATTACT